GCATCGAAGTTTACCGAAAGGTCCAGCGCATTGTTCGCAGCTCTGATCTTATTGATGTTGAAAAGTCGACCAGATATCGAGATATGTCTGCGCTGAACATCCTCGATCCAGGCTTTATAAATCGCTTGAGTATTCAATTTCTTTCTAAAGAGCTCGCTCTCAGTTTGCAACTTCTGACCCTCAGTATGAAGAGCCCAGTCGGTACCCAGAATGCCCTCGACCTTCTTCATATAATTATCAAGTTGACGCTCGATCTGGCGTGCCCAAATGATGGCACCGGAAACGGGTGGTAAATCGTGTAGCTGAGCCATAGCATGAGCCTCCGAGTGGCCATATTGCTGTTTGAAACGCTCGTGAAGCCCCGAGATGGCTTGTTTCACATTATCAATGAGCTGATTCTGATACTCGGCGATAGCACCCCGAATCTTGGGTCGCACGAAGAGGGCGTTGAACTGAGAGAAAACACGAAACATTTCATTCGCGTTCTTTGCTGTTGCAAGGCGATCACGCAGTCTAGCAATAATCGAGTTTTCTACCCGCGAGGTGCGTTCGTTGTAAGTGTTCTCAGCCTTGACCCATCGTTGGGTACCTTCGGGAGAAACATCGAGCAGATCAACATTCTTCAATGCTTCCCAAGCTTGCTGAACCTCTTCAACGGCATCTACATCGCCTATCTCTTCGACAAGCGCAACGCCGTTGGTCGTTGTCTCTTCGGTGGCACCATTGGCAGTTGTCCTCGGGCCGAGGACATTGATGATCGTCTTCTGCAGCTGCTCATGATTATCTCGGAAGTTATCAATATACTTCAGTCGAGCCTGTAACTCGTTATGCTTCGGGTTGACTTTGATCGGAATGAACCTCTCTTGCCTTCTACGAGTCGTCTCTCGAGCAATGTTAGTGAAGTCTTTGATCTGAGCGTCCCAAGACTTGAAGATCTCGTCAGCAGTAGTCATAAGAGTTTTAAAATCCTTATAATCCAGATCGACCAGTTCAGAGCCCGGAAGAAGGCGATGCATAACCTCCTCAAGATCCGCTGAGATGGCTTCGACCAAATGCAAAGTTCGCGCTATGGGATAATTGCTGAACCTCATCTTCTTGTTCATATGGTTGAAGATTTGGCCAATGGCGTCCTGAACCTTGGGCAACGAAGTCGCAGAGAGTAATTCATCGAGAGGGAAATCTCGCATAAGTTGATTATACTTCTGCACCATCTCCATAGCCTCCTTCAGGCCAGTATCAGCGGTAAAACTAACAGTCGCCTGGAAACGCTTTGCATGCTTCAGGATCTCTAAAGTCAACATAACACCTTCACTCCTCAGCTGAGCTTCAATTCCTTCTAGCGCGGACTCCATAGACAACCAGAAATTGATCTCCTGCGTCGCCGTTCTCGTTACGGGGTCTCGGGTGAGTTTCGTGATAGTCTGTATTGATTTAATCCAACTATTTACTGTCGACTGCAAGTTGTTCATAAAGGTACTTTCTGAGAGAAGCTTAGCATCTATCATATCAGTACTCGGTTTCATACTGCGTGCAGCAGCGTCGTCCAATACCCCCTGAACAATCGGGTGAAAGGAGAGTGATAACTCTGGGATCTCGACATTCTGCTGGAGATGGAGCAAGCTCAATTCAAGCTCCGTCATGCGCTTCTTGGTTACAGGAATTCCCGTTTTCGCGTCGACGTCCGCCCGGTTCCTAGCTCCATTTGCAGTTTGCGAGGTTTTGGTATTGGCATCGAAGTAGGGCGCCAGCGCATTATGAAGAATAGAGTGAAGTATTTCGAAAGGAGAAGCAGTAGGACCTTGTTCACTGACGAGATTAGCAAGCGAGGCGGTTCCAGGCAGCGTTTGTATCTGGATCTGCGATGATAACGGTAGCGAGGAATCGAGCGCTTGAGGGCGTTTAAGGAGTGCGAGATAGGCTATCGTCGTCGGCGAAGAAGATATCTCGGATGCGATTGTGTATGTATACGTAACGGGGACTGGAGCAAGAGTCTTAGCAATACCATTCCAGGGCTACGTAAGCGATTATGATGGACCTTCATACCATTATCGGTAGGACCGTCAGCGATGTCATCCGACGGCTTCACATCTTTCTGGATATACAGGGCCACCTGGGCATCGGTCGCAAAGCGAGTACACCTTTGGACCGTATCGTCGTGGTTTTCCTTCGAGAGAAGGTTGCCGGGCCGCTCCAGCTCACTACGGGTAGCCCCGAGGGCGATAGTGACTACGGAAGCCAAATAATCTACCACCAATGCCGGATCTATCATGACAAAGGGGGAAGGCGACAAGCCGTTCGCACCGGGACCTTGTAGGCCCAAAGGAGAAGCCACAGCCTCCATCGTGGCAATAATAGTTTAGCGATCGATCGACTTGTTCAGGGCCGGTGGCATCTCTCGATATATTAGGGGATATATTCGGGTTTCGGTCGTAGGAGAGAGACACAGGCTCCGAATAGAAATTAATAGATATCTATGCGGATTAGGTAGGTACAGTTAGGTTGCAGAAAAAGGGACAGAGACGAAAAGAGCGTAGGGTGCGTAGAGAATGTCTTTGCCGTTTTGTCCGACCTGTATCGTCGTCGAATTTATTTGTATTGGGTGGTGATACAACTACAAAAAGGGATATTTTGAAGTTATTACCAGTCATTAATCATTTTACATTTTACGCGAACTACAGCAAACGGGTCGCGACTACTTCTTACAGCTGCAGAATATGGGGGGATAATTCCTACCTATCTAATCGATGCCGTTTTTGATTGGCTATTCGTCCCAAGTGGCGTGGGGCCAGCAACGGGCTGCCACGATTACTGGACCAGCCGTACATTGGGTACGCATGTACACACGTACATAGAACCCCTGAGACATGACCTTTTGTAGTGGGTGTATTTTACTTCCAACTGTAGCCCCTGTTTCATACGACCAAATATGTTTCGTTTCATTCAAGCCTAAGGAAAACATATTTAATTCATTTACAACCTTGCTACCCTTTTCGTCAGACATTTATGTTATAAGCATAATAACGACGTAGACTGCATTGAAATGGTTTATGGAGTCAACTTTCTAGGTGCATAAAAGACACGATCCTAAAAGATACCTCTCCCAGTTGTAAATCTACGGGACTCAAGTGCTGTGTTAGTTACACTAAGACTTCTATAGCATTATAATGCCGGCTTTTCTTACCTTTTCAAAATCTTAACAGTACAATACTACGCTTTTCCTTGATGCCTATCAAAAGTAGTAAAAACGAGAAAGCCATAGATATGATTATAAAGACTGGATTAAGAAGAATACTGCCGTTAATGTCGAAGGAAGCAACTAGTACAGCTAAAGGACGCTTACCATATCGTATGAATACACTTAAATGAAGTCCCCCTCGATAAATCTAACCACAAGCCGCCAATGTAGTCTCATCGCTTCAACCCTTTTTTTTTTTCAGGATAAAACCTAGCTTTTTCTCTATCCTACACCCCCTTTCCCTCAAATTAAACTCTTCAAAGCTACTTCAACCACTTGATTATTTTCAAGACCCTCGATGCAGTAGGTAGGTAGTATTGCAGACGGATGACTCGCAGAAAAGACCAGTTGGTTAAAGGTGCTCTTCCGCTTCCCCAACAAACCGGGGTTCCACTTTGCCAAGACGGATCTCCGACAGTGACTACGGGAAAGCTTCCGTGTAACACCCACCGTGGTTTCCTCTGTTTACACGCGCAGGATGTATTGGCAATTTCCGGCGGACAAGCTTAGTCCAAATCTTAGGGCTTTGGTTAAGAAACTCTCCAAGTATAAATCTAGATAGATTGCCAGTGGGCTCAATTTATACTAACTTCTAAGCCGTAGCTTCTTAGTCTAGATTACGTCCGAGTTTATATAAGTTCTTTATATCATCATATAAACCCCAATGGTCTGGGCCTATACATCTACATCTTTGCTAAACCAAACACGCGAAATCCAAGGTTCCTTACCCGATCGTAGGAATTTTTTTATCTCATTACTTGGCAATATTGTATGTATATCACCACATCATATTATACCAATACAAAATGGCATAGCTGAAGACATCTATAAATTCGAGGAACGGGGCGGAGCACATGATTAATCATGATAGAACCGCCTTCGTCCATCTTTTGCTTCATTGAATCCGATTTCCGTATCAAAATCCCCAAGTCTATATTTTCCATGTCCAGTACTGGCATACCTTGCGGTTCCTAATCGTCAGGTCAGATGCAAAGTTGACATCCCGTTGTATTCCCTCGCGAACAAACCGCAAACCCCGTATAACTCCAGAACCCCGCTATATGCCACCCGTGTTAGTCGTAGCCCTCATGACGCCGATGCTTCCCTCGAAATAAACCAGATCCCATCCATGCGTGTCTCATTTTAAACCTCCTTTTAGTCATGTCCCTTTAGTTATTCGAGCCTCCTGCTCCGCCATTAACCCCTCCAGTATCGTTCAGTCTCTCCCTTTGTACCATGACTCGTTCGTTGCATATGTCGATAAACATCTCGAACTTCTCGATCATTTTATCTTTCTCCCGTAGCTTCTCCTTCAGCTCTTCTAGTTCTTTTCTACTATCTTCCTTAACCCGGGATAGCTCCTCCTTGGCCCGAGCGAGCTCTCGCCTAAGGTCTGACCGTATGCGTTCCTCGGCAGACGGGGCCGGCTTACTGTATATTGCCGGCCGCTGTTCTGCGATACCTGCCTCCACTTTTTGCGGATTTCGATTTATTGCAGCACGCGCATTGTAAATATCCCTAGGGAGGAGAGGTACGTGCGGGTTCTGCTGTTGTAGAATTTCGAGAGTTTGAGTAACGCCAATACCTAAAATAAGTCAATACTATAGGCACGACGGCTCGAAGCCCAAACTTACCAGATTCCTTTAAGTTTTTAACGGCAGCAACCATCTCGCTATCTAATTTCCGAGCGGCTGGGTGGAGAAGCGGGCTCTCACTGGGGCCGTGGTTATGATGGAGGTGGGTTTGGTCAGGACGATAGCGAATCGTCCACTGTGTTCTCTGTTCGATAGCGAAGAAACCAAATTGGCAGTTACACTTGCGAGAAGATGTCTTTCGTTTCCTATTTTCAGGGCTTACCCGGCTTGGAGGCTTTCCAGCACGGTCACATACGAAGAGAACCTTCTTTAGACCCGGAACAGTCTTCTTCGACCGTCCGATAACTACAGCATATCCCACCGATGTGCAATACGCGAGCACGTGCTTGTGAACAGCATCAAGACTAGGAAAACTACCCCCTTCAGGCGGAGCGGACATCATCGTGCCCATCGGCGTCCTCGGTACGAAGGGTGTCCCTTCGATGAGCTTAGGCGAAATGTGACTATCTCCCTCCCCCTCCTCCCCTTGACTGTCCATATCCATATCATCATGGTGCTGAGCTTCCTGCGGCGGGACGCTTGGCTCTGGCCGAGGGGCTGGCGGTGGTTGGCTCTGCGGTTGAGGGGTCGGCTGAGGCTGTAATGGCGGCGGAGGTTGCTGGTGAACTTGAGGCAGAGGCTGAGGGAGCGCCTGCTGGTGTGCCTGCGGATGTGCCTGCGGATGTGCCTGCTGATGTGCTTGTGCATGTGCCTGCGAATGTGCCTGGGGGTGCGGTTGCTGGTGAGCTTGCGAATGAGCTTGCGGGTGAGATTGATGATGCGGAGGGTTCGGAGATATCAGATTGCTGTCGTTCGGTTGGACCGGTGGGGTTGGTTGGACCTGCTGAACAGGTTGCGGCTGAATTTGTGGTATCGACTGAGGGTGCGGCATCTGTAGAACCGGCTGGGATACTACTGACTGGGGTACCTGTTGGACGGATTGGACAGGCTGGTTCATAGCTTGCTGGAGATATGCCATTGTGGTTGGAGGTCCCGGCTGTGATTGCATCTGACGCTGCTGGCTACTTCGTTGGTGCTGAGAGTGCTGGTGCTGGTGTTGTTGATGCTGGCGAACGGCCTGCACAGCAGCTTGGGCATGCTGAGCAGCCTGAGCAGCCTGAGCCGAGGCGTGTCTCGAGTTGCCATTTGCTAAGTTAGGTAGACTGGCGACGTTGGGTACCGGAGACGGGGTGGTGCTCTGAAAGAGATGTTGCGGGTAGGCGGCCTGCGGGGGTTGCTGGGGAGTATATTGAGCAGCCTGGTACGGGGATTGGTGTTGCTGAGGCGTGGGAGAAGGTTTCGGCGGCGTGGACGAGTGTGAAGATGGATATCCTCCGCGTCTGTTGAGTCCGTTGACCTGCGGGAAGGTCAGGCCCGGATGGGTGTGGGAGCTGGACCCGGGCTGGCCCAAGGCGGACATGACGGAGGAGAGGAAAGACGTGGGAACAAAAAACACTACAAACGCTCCAGACTAAAAGACAAGACGGCGAAAGGAAGATTCGGGAGGACCAAGAGGGCCCAGAATACGACGACAACCGATAACGACAACCGACAACGAGCCTAGCACTAACGAACTAGGATAGGAACGATGTGATGTCAACCCTGGCCGTTTGGCAGATACAATATGTAATGTATGGTATGGTATGTAAGGTAAGGTAGGGGGAAAGAAAAAAAATATGGCGGGTGTGGAAATATCACGACAAGATCAACATGATAAGGCTCAAGGCTCACCAGGGTTTAGCAGGGGGTGGAGGGGGGAGGGCAGGTATGTAGTGGTAAGCACGGGTGTGGTTGAAGAGAATTGGTGGTGGATTTCCAGTGAATTTCTTTGGTCTCATCAGCGGGAAAGAGACTTGGTGGTGGGAGAGGTAGTGGGAGTAGTGGGAGTAGCGGGAGTAGCGGGAGTGAGTGGGTGAAAAGATCGATCTACTTGTTCTTGTTCAAGACGCACTAAGCTGAACCGAGTTAAAACAAGGAAGGAGAAATCGAGGAAACAGCGAAACGGCGCGCGATGGGGGGTGTGGAAGAGAGGGTGAGAAAAATGAAAAAAATGCAACAGCCCTCGCCAAGGGCCAAGGAAAGAACAACACAAAATTTCTGTAATTCTGCAATTTTGCAATTTCTGTATTTCTTGTACTTTGTTGTTATTTTAGGTATTTTTGGTTTTCTCTTGCTACGAAAAATTAAAGGACCCGAGGCTCCGACAATGAGAACAGACTGTTCAAAACTACAACGCGCAGCTAATAAATAAAAAATAGCAGCAGGGCAGCAGAGGTAGCAGCAGAGGTAGCAGCAGCCCGAGTACCTTAAAATACCTACCTACCTTAGGGCCCTACCTTACGGATGTTAGGTACACGTAAGATTTGGGTCCCAATTGTCATAGGTCAACTTCACTGGTAGGTATTTTTAAACAGCGGGTACTAATATAATACATGCGTTTGCAAAGCCTAAAAATTGAAACGTGCAATACTTATACCTACATACTTGCACTTGCACCGTTGATTAAAACCGTCGTCTAATCTATAATAGGCAATGAGTGTTAATGCGACCCTACCTAATAATAATAGTGGATATGTTATGTACCTAACATACAGGGCCAATACAAGGTACATGCCCAAGGTTATGCACAAAATTGCACTTAACCTGCTTAAGTCTAGCGTTAGGTTTGTCTTGCATGGGGTAACGGTTATGTCTGGCTGTGTCTGTTTATTAATTCGACGTGCACAAGACAACTTCAAACAGTCAAAACAGTACATAAAAAATACACATACACATCTCGAATCAATATAATTTTCAATTTCAACCTCATCAATTCTGATTTCTTACCAGCCCCAACTGATGTTATTCTTAGCGTCCATTCACAAGTGATCACGAATATATTTTCCCATAAAACCCTTCTGCATAGGCATACGGCAAGGTAACCAGCTGATGTGTCCCCCCCTTCTTCTTTTTCTACCTTAGAATACCACATGTACGGCCTGTTGTTTGCTGCTGTCTGGTTAGTATACGTCGATGCCATTGGCCCCAAATAGTCGATTCATCCAATCCAGTTTAGGTGAAACATCAAGTACATACATTAAGCGGCGCGCATCGCTGTACATATTCTTGGGTGGGCTAGATGGCAAGATGGGTACAGTGACAACAGTCGGAAAAGAAAAGAAAAAAAAAACGACTTGTCAACATCCCATCAACGTGCCTAATCACGTCCACACACATATGTCCTGCGCATACCCGCATGCTACATCGCTACATTAGAACATACCTCTACCATACAAAAATACCCAAGGTAATCGGTAATGGCACTTCCAGAAATAACAATTGTTCTAGATCTTATTATTGCTCCTTCCTTCTTTTTCTCCACAGGCTCGTTTTCCAGCTCTGCCTTGAACGTCTTTCCCTCCCAGCCTTGTGGGGAGTCGAACATTCTCGATCGACGTAGTTAAAAACTTAAGGAATCAACTTGGGAACAAACGCAGGTATCGTTGTATCATTTCGAGGCTAAGGTGAGCAAATTCGAGGGCGTATCTTTGACATGTTGCCGGTATCGACAGCTGGGATCATCTGATTCGAACCAATGTTTATGCAATTTTCTTATGCATTTGCAGTGAAAGAAAGGCCCTCAAACTAGCCCAAGTAAACTTAAAAAAAGGTATTGCATACATATGCGTTAGTGGCTAAGCTGAGGCTTGTTATTACCGCCTTCAAACTCAAGTTGCCTTCCGCTATTGGGCGCCAGCCTTATTTTCAAGACTTCAAACTCCGGTATTCCCTCCCGTAGTTGGGCATAAACAGCATATACACAAACAATGCGACAGGGTTAACTAGGTAGCTATCGTTTAAACTCACCCGGGTTTTCCCCATCGTGGTACGGCATGGTCGTCATAGCCAATTTTAATTCTGGACTTTCTTTAATCTCGCCTATCCTATCCCATCTCTTGGCTCCCCTCACTCTTTTATAATGGCCGGGTGGGAGAGCCGCAAGAAGCTTCACGAGTGGAGAGTCATGCAACATCGAGGCCGTAATAAAGTCCTAAAGGCCTCAAAGGATCCTGTCGCGCGAGCCCGGCTCTGTGCCGAGATCCCGTCCCCAACTTCCGCAGGACTCCACATTTCAGAGTCGGATCGAATTTCGGCCTTGACGTCCCTTCCGGCATTCCTCTTTAACGGCCCCGCAGTAGATTCCGGACAATCCCAGATCACTAGTCCTAGTCAAGGGCGTCGATCCTTCCTTAGCACTTTTCCAGCCGAAGTCCGGAACATTATATACCACTACGTTATCGGCTATCCTACATGTCGAAGTTTATACGACTACTATTACGACCAGAAGGAGAAGGCCAAAGCTAAGATTGAGCTGCGACCACGCTCTGCTAACACCAAAGTATCGCGCCACTCCAAGATCATTCTTCGGACGCCTAGTATCTTCCTTCTCTGCAAGCAGATAACGAGAGAAGCACTCAGTCTTCTATGTCTCCAGCCCTTTGTCATCGACCGTATCCCGCCCTGGATCATGGGTAACCCATCACCCCTTTCCATAATCAACTTCATTGGCAGGGCAACATTGCAAAACCTTCGATTCGTCCAAATCAAAATCTCGCTCGGCGATGGTACCGAGTTCGGAAGCGGGAAGGTTTGGCTCAGGCTACTGAACGAAATACTGGATGCCTGGTCAGAACGCAACTCCTTGGTTCGATTAGAAGTCATGTTCAAGCTCTCACATGTTACGAGACCTAACATGTGGTTCTACGAACTGGACGATTACGAAAGTCTTGTGAACAAGGCAAGTGTCCCCGTACCCCAGCAACGACAACATCGCTGACGTGGGCTTACGATTCTCTAGCTTAATTACTTCGAGTTCAGATACGGCTCAAAACCAGGCTTGATCCGATGGGAACATTGGGTCATAGACTTCGACTATGCTTATCGGGTTGGGCATAGAAGTAAGTCGCGGAAATGATTCCCCTTTACAGATTCGTGAGTAGCTAACTAGTCATAGATCCCTTGGTTCGAGTACATCCTGACCCATACATATGGCAAGGGAGCGTTATCGAATGGCTCTGAGCAAGCATCAGACGCCTAAAATTACGGCTATATCGCCCATAATGAGGTCCCTCAATATCGAGAGGAATACGAACGTCACGAAACGGGGTCAAGGCAAGAACCAATGGATTTACAGACACATCAGCACAACCATACGGCGTTTGGAAGGCATATACCCAGGTTATGATTTGGTTTTTTACGGCGAGTTTTTCTTTTCTCCAAAATAATATTATAATTTTATCGATGAGATCTCATAATTACGAATGATTTACTTTACACTACGCTGACGTATATTGATTAATATTGATAATGGAGAACCTATGGACATCTCGTAATACGTCCGCCGTAGGTCTAGCGCCTTAATCATACCGTAGAAGATGCTAAAGTCTGACTCGAATCTTTTGGGGCCAGCTACCGGTACCTACCTGCAACCCAGAGTCGGATATTCCTGTGTAACGCTCAACTTACCAACATCACCAACCCACTCACCCACCCATCTAAGAAAAGATCTCATTCCTCCCGAGCGATCCCTCCGGGTACCTACCCCTTCAGCCGAAGACCCTACGTAGGTATGTAACTAAGGTAGCCAAGACCACAACAACGCTATGTAATAGCCTTTTATCCCCCACAAGAAACCTATCTCGTCCAACCCTGCCCCCACCCCCCGGCGCTCTTCGGACGACGCCGAACAACCATGTAACGCTGCGCGTACACCGCACCCCGAAGGAAGCGATCTCGCGTACGTAAGCCCCGTCTCCCTCCCTTTCCCCCAACGCCATGGCCTGGGTTTCCCCGCCTGGCGGCGCCTGATTGGCCGGTGCTAGGATTAAATATCTCCGGTCAGCCTTACGAAAGCAGCAAAGCATGGGATTCCTGAAGGAAGCAAGCAAGCGCCTACCCCCTCCCTCGCATCCCTCGCAATACTACTTGATCTGATCTGATAGCGGGACCGCCAGACCCTAACCCTATGAGGTATGTAGGTAGGTATGCACCTCGCTTAGTAAGGGATGATTATGCCGTTGCGCTGAGAGACTGGGTTAAGGTGTAGCGTTTCCTCCCATAAACCCCTATTCTGCTGAGCACAGCAACTGGGTCTAATCCGAATCCCAATCCCGTTCGGACGTGTATTCCAAGCAGTGCTACTATCTAAAAAAGGGGGGGTTTAAACAAGAGAATCAATTTATTCATTAACTAGCCATTTGAATGTTTACATTCATTTCACACAACAGTCGATGGAACAGAAATTGTGCGGAATAAACTAGACGCGCTACTTAGTTGAGCATAGACATTGTAGAGTATGAACTTCGTAATCGTGTATATCCAGCCCAGCCGTAATCACATCCTGCTGGTGTAAAGTGCCTTTTGGCCTTAGATCTATCTTCTATATACGCAGTGGTATCTCTAAAAGTCCCGTCCTAAAGCCCCTAGCTAACGGCGGAAAAAAGAAAAAAAGGAACAAGCGTAGGGTTTAAGGGAGAAGGAAAACGACGAAGAACCACCCAAATGGACCATGAACCCGGACGCCTGACTAATGCATAATCAAATGATAGATTTATCGCCTTTCATATATCATCTCTCACGTCCTTGGCGTATCTACTCCGCCGGAGAGTACTTCTTTCTCTTACTGGGTCTCCGGCCTGTCTCGTCACCAACGAAGTGATTCTTGTCGATTTGGTGCTGGCGTAGATTATCCTGGCGGTTTTTGTATTGACTATTGCATCCAGGGAAAGGGCATTTATAGATTACTGGTGGTCCAGTTGAATGCTGCATCTTCTTATGCTTTGCCATACTGCCTTTGAACCATTGCGGGTCTCCTTTCGGGCGGTACCCGCAAATGTCACAGGCGTCATTTGCTTCCACTTTCTGAGTTGAGGATGATACCGGCTTCAGCGGTAGTTCGGCGTGAGCTGGCGATAGAGGCTTCGGTCGAGTTGGAACAGTAATCGGCGGTGGGAAGCTAGTCGAAGCCGCGAACGAATTGTCGGGGGTCTCGGTGTGAGAGGTGGTTTCAGTGAAAGCTTCGGTGGCAATCGTCGGGGGTGGGACACTGGTGCTGATGTCTTGAAGGTCCATGGGGCCAAGCCCCGGGTTAAAATTTGGAGTGCCTGTGAGCCCTGTTTGGCCTTGTTGAGAAGAACCTGTGCCAAGATTCACGAGGAACTCCCCTTCAATACCAGTGGTGCTATCAAAAGGAAATGTGTCGAGAAATTGGTCGTACGTTGATTCAGGTAGCTCTAATGAAAACCCGGTAGGATTTCCTTGAATATGTTGGGTATTAGACGCAATTGTTTGAACAAGGGCTTCCACCAACGATATTCCCATAGTCTGATATCTTGTTCTTGATTGAAGTCCTTGTTCAGGGTAAATCGGGTCACAAAGTCTCCTGACCCGTGGGATGAATTCATTAAAGAGGTCGGAAGAGTCTAAAGTGTTCTGTCACCCTCATTGTTAGCTACTACATGAAGAATAATCCGTGGTATAGGCCGAGCTCTTTGATAACAAGGGCGACCATTCTGACTGGCTCGAGCCAATCCATCTATCATTTGCATCTAACGCGAAGAAAACTTACTTTTCCGGCTTGCAATATCGCAAGTTCGAGTTTGCGAACGGTGGTGATCTCCCCAACGCGAACCTTTTGCCCTATTTCGCCGAGTCTTGGTTGGAGCATTTCAGAATGCCCGAATCCCGAACTTAAACTTTGAATAATATAATTGGCCGTTATCGAAAAAGGGCTGTCGCCTAAAGAGCTTGGGTGTGTTTCCGCTACGTGGGCAGAATAAAGGTGAGATGTGTAAACCTCATCTGATTTCGGTGGACCATTGGTTATGACGGAATTTTCGAGGTCTAGTGGTGCGGTTAGTGGGATTGTGTAGGAAGCACCATAGATGTGACTTACCATCGAGGAAGTTTTGTCCTACGGCAACAAGAGGATCGCCTTCCAAATTGATCCTCGAGCCTGTTCGATACTCGGGTTCTTTACCTTTGGAACTTGACGATCCGTCTGTACAGGCCCCTCTAAAGACCTGTGATTGTTCCTCTAGTATCGGCTGCCAGATTGCTACTACGACCTGCGTATAATATTCGCGATGGGTTGGCCCAAGGAAGCGTCGGTAAGTAAGAGCCTGTTGGTACAATGCGCTACAACGAGTTGCAAGTTCGCTTTCGTGGATTACGAGGGAGATGGCGTAAATAAGATGTACAAAGCAGATGTAATCAAACGGGTCCGTAAGATTACCCCCCTGTAACATCCTCCTCAGGCTCGAGAGACCATTAAATGCTACGACTTTTGGTGATTGTGTTTGAAGTTGCTGGACCAACGGATTTCCTTCGATGTGTGACAATTTATGCCTTGAAGATGTGATATGTTCCAGTAGGGCGTCCCATACCAACTCAACAAGGGTCCTAGTCTCTGGGCTGCGATCTGATGGCTCGAGGAATCCGGACGGCATACTCGCGGGCTTCGTGTTAGGTCCCGTAAACATCATATTGACGGAAGGCGAAAGCGAGATCTCTGTATTTACAGACTGCATCCATGAGTAATTATCCTTGGGCTCAAAAGAGAACATTAACGGATCAGAGAGTCCACGGGGTATGGATAACAAGTCATCGCCTGGTAATTCGGATATGTCGTCCATCATATAGTCGCATCTGTCGTCCGGACATGGGGATGTGGGCTTTGCTGTATTTAAGATATCTTCGGGCCGGGATACTGATAGAAAGGCATTTGGACTTAAAGGTGTTATTGGGGATGTCATCGCGGTATCAATACTTGAGCCCATGGTCCAGGATCCGGAACTGTTTGAACCTGCGCTCCATGGAGTAACTGGTGAAATATTATGCGAGCTTTTTGTTGACCGAAGAGACGAACTCGGAGAAAGGTGTTTCGTACGGGGAACGTTCCTGTAACGGTCTATGTGAGTATCCAGGGCTAATGACGGCCGATTCCCCCCTGAGTTTGTAGGTGTTAAACTAGGCGGAGGCATGGAGCCGTCTTGATGAGGTTGTTGCGCTGGGTAGGGAGCTAACGGCTCACTGTGCCTCGGAAGTGTGGTTATTTGGGAGGGCACCATAATCCCCGGTGTAGCATCGTGCTGTTGATCTGGGGTCGTGGGGAAATCTACAGGCTGTGTGGCATAGTTGATGGGATCGAGTTCAGCTGTCGGCTGCATTTGTCTAGAGTCTAACTCATGTATTTCTGTACCATTCAGTTCTATCTGGGGATGAGGCTGGGGTTGCTGCTGTTGGGATTGGGATTGGTTTTGGTGCTGCTGACGCTGCAGCAAATGTTGCCGTTCACTTTGCTCTTCTAGGTCGATTACGAGAGAATCGTAGCTGGGGGGAGGTACTGTAATATCTTCTTGGAAGTCAGAATGTGGTACCCTTCGTGTCTTGTTGCCTATGTTCGAGAAGAAGTTCCTGGCTATGTTGATAATACGTCTTCGTTTAGTCGGGTGGCCTACACAACACCGACATTTCCCATCGTTATATCGTTCGATTTTCATGCAGTCGTAGCATACGTATTCACCAGTCTTGAGGTGTTGGCACTTAGTCAGATGTCTTAGCATCGCTTCATGGTTGTCGAATCGCTCTCCGCATAAGAGGAGAGGGCATTTCAGACGTTCGCTTGCTGCCATTCGAACCGATTTGTTTCGCTTGACGGCTGCCCATACGATGAATCTCTGCAATGCACATTCCTCCCCTGGAATCTCTCGAGTCCTTGAGAGGTTAGTATATTCAGAACCGTGGTAATATCCCATCGCTACTCACGCGCATGGCGATGGTGCCTGTGGGTTAGATCCCGACCGTCGCCTCGAGTCGAGAGAAGGGGACCGTACCGTGGCGTGTTGCCCGACCGGCGGGTCTAAATCGAATAAAGCATCATCAATAGAGGCCGACTCAGTAGTGGCAAAGCTCTTTTTCGGATCCATTGTTGCAACAGAGGTCTGATCTATAGACTAGCACTTGAACGGAATGAGAGAGGTCGGGGCCAAGGGGATCGCCACCGATCCATGACTTTATTTTGAAGGATCTAGAAAATTGTCTACTACCCTGAATATGACGATGTAGGACTTTTTGGTACTGGTGCAGATGCAGCAGTACTTGTACCCTAGGACCAGCGGTAACGAAGACCGACTAATAAGAACAGATCTAGCCATTGGTGACCACTAACAGGCTCCCTCAGGACCTCCCCTTGTAATTACTATCGGCAGTGCGTTTATCTTACCGTTCGCGGCTCACAGGGCTGCATGAGAGAGCAAGCGATGGAGTTGGGGTCCAAAATCCGACTCGGTGAAGTACGCAGGCAACAAGGCAGAATGGACCCCAAATTACGCCTTGTACTCAGATGCAAAAGCCAGCTGAGTGGGAAATGCTTGCTGACTGCAGGACTCGGGCGTGGTCCAATCAAAACCACAGCGTGAAAAGACACAATTGCTTAAGGATAAAGCCAGAACGCGATGCTATTCGAGCTTGAAAGCTCTAATGCGAGTCCTCTCATCAAACTTCTCGGGTTTAGACGTATGGGTGCTTTAGTAAATATCGGGAGCTCCTTGGCAAATTATCTTGATGGACGGGAGGAGTTCTCGAAACGCAACCCAAGACCACGGAATCGTGGTAGCACAACCTACCGGGAAGCTATTGCGAATATTTGGCATTTTCGAGACATGAGCTTGTGTTCTCAATTGGTTTAGGGTATCTCGGGGATCCCATGAAGGAATTGGTAGAGAACGGCAAAATCCGCATCATCATCAATAACCTTCGGCCATGCACGATGCCGCAGCTCCCGCTAGATAGGTGCGAAGACGGCAAATCTTGATATAAGCCATGTTTATTGCATCACTATATTCCAAAGGAGAGCGATGGAACTGATGCAGTGTCCGGGGGTGGCTTGATATGGTGAGATGGTGATCCATCACCGCCTTGTAGGGCTGGGAAAATATGACAGAAGTTGACATGGGGTTGACGGGGATAAGGAACATTTTAGGGACTTGTCTTGGAGCTTAGGCCATGCCCCAGATTTCTTTTGCTTTCTTACGAGATATGTGGCGCGATGTGGCTAGTCAATGGCTGAGACGGCTGATTCCGCAGCAGAAAGCCCAGGAACCCTTCCTTCCAGAAGTCATGAAGGATCAGGTCTTGTTTACATAAGGGGTAGGACTTGGAAGTTTTAGACCTACATCATATGCAACTTCGCTTGATCAGTAGAGATGGATATAAGCATAGCATAACGTGGATATTCTATTCAGGAATCAAATTCAATATGTGAGCATCGGTAAAAGTCAATCGGTATCCGATATATTTTAGGTAGCGTATTATTGATACATGAGCTGATTCAATAAGATATTACCTATCCATACCTTATGTATCCAATGCATTGTCATCTTTCAACTTCTCCTTTCTACGACAGACATATCGAATACTGGCCAATTCTATTCCGTCTTGAGATATATAAATCTCGGGATATTCATAAGCCACATTGAATAAGAGGATTCGGTGGCTTTAATATTGGAATTCCCGTCTCCTACATTATTGAAGTAATACTTACCAAGTCTTAACTCGGTCGTAGGTAGTCTTGACTCTTCCATGGCGTAGCCGAAAGGTCGGCAAATCCCCCTAAATCGGCTTCTTATGTTGCATCTTTTTTCACGTCGCAATACCGAGTGCATATGCAAGCGGGTCCGTCTCATTTATTAACATGCAGTCGTAGATATGTGTGCCGTGTCATTGGACCTGTCTACTATGTATGTAGTATTCTCCCGGCCGGCATCGACTAGTTTGCAACTCCAGTTGCGCAATTTTTGGTATTTTATAGAGGGCCGACCTTGCTGATCATGACGCATCTATTGGGGCTCTTACGGGGAAAATGGGGTTTGTTGGTCTCGAGTCCATTCGTTCCCAAATATTACGCGTTCAACGTTTCAAGAGACGCAACACAAGTCTGACTTCTGCTCCTCGTCTGGTTTACCCCCCCGCGCTTTTTGTGCTGGGGTCAACCCGTTTCTTATCAACGGCTATCCTCTGAATGGATCTTGGCACGACCCGATGAGAATCATGGGATTCCCGTCACCATTCCACCCCACGTGGAAGAGCGAGTTTTGACAGCTCTCGTTGGCTTCAAATTTGAACGCCGGACATACCGGGGACGGCCATTGATCTTCCCAACTAGCAAGGGATTCCCCCCGTCATCCCCATCTACGATCTGGGGTGTGATCGACAATATGTCTGAATACTCCACGTAGACGAGAGACTCTAAACTCGGCTAAGAGACTTGGGAGACTGAGTGGACATGGTATCAGGGTATACGACACCTGCCACACAAACGAACCATCTTAAAACTTAGCTAGGGATGTTCTAGGCCGCTCTAGTTTCGTCAACTTTTGTCTCAAAAGAGCTGTACTGCTGTATAACATGAGAAAACCCTCTCGCGATCCATGGCTCTGGTGCACTTTATCTCACGAGGACTGCCACCCAAGACGAACGATAATGGAATAGGCAGGATTTCGTGCTTGCGACAAGCGTATAGTGGCGTCGTCTATAACTCCTATTCGACGATCTCATTCGCCTACTTAACTCTTATCAGATAACCACCGGGCGATCGACTGGTAACGAGCGTTCCCCGCGGGACGATGTCATCAGTGCAGCAGTCCTTATAGGGAAACGGAAACGGCTTTTGGTTTATCTGCGAACTATCTTGCGACAGTCCCAAACATATAAGCATTCCAGCCAAGACTGCGCCCTTTGTCAATCACTTTTTTCTTGTCGTTTCGTCTCTTCATTGTTTAATTCTCAATTCATCTCAACTGATCCGTAACCTATTATTTCTTGACGTTGTCGTCATTATTAAATGCGAATAGGCTCCCCTCCACCCACCCTGTCTTAAGCCCGGCGCTTATTAGTTAGAGCTTGTTATCATTTGTTTTTATCTTTATTTTTTTCAGGGTCTAAGACCCTTGGAGTTCCAAGCAGCTGGTAAATTTTATATTTTTAATTACTGTGCCAGGAAAAATTCATTTATATTTATTTACTCGTCAAGCAGGCCACAAAACTTTTATTGTCCGCCTCAAAGCTGGGCTAACCACACACAACGTCGAGATGGCGCACGTGGCACGAGAGCTAGATCTGAATGCCTACTATGGGCCCGGCACCGTCATGGACAGAATGAACGCGGTGCCGGGCTTAAAGACTAGTACAGGTAAGTAGACGAGAGCCTTTTCCTTTAAATACCCTCGATTTTATAATTGTCCTCGATGTTAGTTTCGTGCTGCTTCGTCTTCCGCTTGTCTCGAATTGAAAGTTCAATCTTGGCCGTCTCATTCCATGATTTTTCATGAGTGACATGGTGTAACCCTTACCTCGCATCCGTAAGTCGCAGAACATCGCATGAGTTGGACGAGGTGGAAAAGCAAAACTTAATTATTCGATTCGGACGTGAGACAAGGAGAATAGAGTTATTAGCATCGGCAAAGCTGATCAGCACCTTCGGCCAACAGCATTCTTCTTCTTCCTACGTGCGAATCTCGTCGTCAACCCTTCAGCGATATCCACGCCGGATATGGAGCCGGCACCGTCAAGTACGCTCCCGCCGCCTTCGCCGTCACTGCTTGTGACGGTTGATCCGCCTACCAACCCAATACCGCAAGATCTACCCCCACTATCCGTCGGCATTATAGACGGTGAAACCAACAAGCTAGATGCGCTGAATCTAGTAACGGACTCGATAGCCCAGCAGCGGCAGTCATCTTCGTACCATTTAATTTTCCACCCGTACTTACTGGCTATTCTGACCGTGGGCCTCGGTATCGCTTATCAGTACTCCTGGCGCATAAAACGGGACCTCGGCACGGCGCTGATGTTGCATTCCGGGGTGATCATGACTTATTTAATGGCCATTCGGTATTTTACGGGCCAGTACATACAAGTAGCCGAGAGCATGAAATGGAGTTGGATGGTATCCGAGGATGGCGAGGAGGACACCGTCATCGGCGTGCGATTTGGGAATGATCTGATTGGTGCCCTGGTATTACGGCTCGAGCCAAATCCGAGTCTAGCCGGGAAGAAGCGGAACCGACATTCAACGCTTAAAGGTGGGAAGGGCGTGATCCGAGCCTGGACGGTCAAGTTGAAGTATCGACACAAGGGTGTCGGTTCCGATTTGCTACATGAAGCCGTCAAAGTGACGAGGGAAAAGTGCGGCAAGGACGCCGAGGTTGGATTCGCGAAGGAACACGCTAATAGCACTATGGTGCTGCCCGAAGCTTTCAATGGGCCGTTTAGAAAAGAGGAACAAAGAGCCGCAAAGGCTTTAGAAAAAGTGCTGAACGAATGGGAAGGCAGTAAGCGAAGACGAAAACTATAGAGGTTCGCAGGAACGGTCGATTGGCGTTTGACGGTTATCTGGTTACAATATACCCCCGTTCGTTTAGAATTGATGTCTCGGCCTTATATAGATAATCAATACCTAGGTAGTTTCATATAGAGACTTTCTTTGAGAATTAAGTTATATGTTCCGAGTAACTTTGTACTCCCGTAACCTCTCGGTTGCGAGCTAATGTTCCAACTAGCTGAGTTTAAAGAGCAAGGGCAAAGCCAATCCATAGCCGTCCATACGCCAATAGTCCCGATCAGATCGTTAAAAAAGCCAACTCTATTCGTTCTTTCCTTCCACTATGTTGTTGTACTTTGACTTGAATATGTCCCTCATACAATCGCCAACCTTCAAGTGTTTACCGTTTTTTTACGGAACTGCCGCTTACATCGTCGAAACCGTATATAGGCCGGCCAATTCGTTTCAAGGAATGTAAGACCTGCGATGAAAAAGGTCGAGGTCAATATTACGAGATGGCAGACTGCCTGATTTGGAAGATGACGAGCAACTCACATCGTTGATGGTGACCGTTTGCCTTTGACGGTATTCGGTGTATATTACGCAATCCCGTATGATCTGTCCTCGGATGCGGCGTTCAGTACAATGCAAACAAATCGAGGTTACGTCACACGAGTTATTATATATATACCTCTTCGAGCCTCGCTTTCAAGGCCACTCGCACTTCATCGTAGATCTGTGCTGATATTCGTTTGACACCACCTCTACGGGCTAGTCGTCTATCATGAAAGTTAGATTCAATTGGCTATAAGAACGAATGTTATAGGAGAAGTATAGTAGGATGAAGAGTGAGGCTGGAGTGTAATTGACGAGTTTGGGTATGAGCTAGAAACGTACCTGATGGCGGGCTTGGCTAGACATCGGATGACACGTTAGCGACACATTAACCGTTGACTATTGACCGTTGACCGTTGAATTTAAGATTTCTCCGACGGGTAGGTCACTTACTAACTCCCTGGATATTGTCGCGAAGGATCTTACTATGCGACGGGTTAGTCACAACAAAGCGCTCACTTGCTTATACGCATAATCTAAAATACCGGTGCCTCTTGATTCCCTGTAAACGCAGTAAAGTTAGTACGGCACGCACGTCCACGCCATCGCGCCTAAAGACTAGAACTAGGGTAATTTACTCCCTTTCCGCCGAGACCCTTTCCTCCCTTCCCACCCCTCGTTACGTCCTTTCCTGGCATGTTCACAGTAGTGTAAAACCCAGGATGTTTCCACAGAGATTGCAATTGGCGTAGAAATAGGGATGACACGCGCTATTGCTATGAGAGTTGCTATTTGAGTTGGGGGCGCGTAATAGGATGTGGAGTTGGGCGTGGGGAAAACCAACCGTAAGGATATTTCGAATCTTAGTGCTGAAGTTGTATTGTACGTATCGATAAGACGCTGCCTTCCACTATATGTACATCCCTTAATCGTCGCCTTAAAATGATATATCATATCAATATAGAGCGGGGTAACTGCCTTGATGTAACAGAATGGCATCAAAAAAAGATAGCCACCACAATATGGGGCATGTTTTTTTGACGCCATTCTGTCTATGTAAAAAGGTACGTCTTTTACGTGATTAATATGCTTATTTGCATATGCGCAAGCTATCTATGATGCAGCTTATGGACATAGTAGAAAACATTCGATTATTATTCTCTTCAAGTCATATTAAGTATGCTGGACAGTTTATTAAATATCTCGTTCCGTTAATATATCAGGTAGAAGTATATGTCTGCTATAAGCTTATATTTTGACTTAGTTTATACTCCCTAATAAACTCACGTTTCAATACTACGTACTTTCATCCCATGTAAAACTTCCAAGAACAACGATTGTATTCATATGAGGTATCCTTATTAATGTAACTAACCAAAAACCTATAGATAGTACATGATTTCGAATGGTGGAATCCGAATATAGTTTACACCTTTGGGATCTCAACGAGTGATCATGTACTTCTATGAACTCTAGTATCCCTAACTTGTTCTGATGCAATATCCTGACCGTATGCTAACTGGAGGAAAGCGAATATAATGTAGCCAAGCCTCTTTACTGGAATATAGCGCTTAAACCAAGCATCCGCATTCTAAAAGCAATCCTAGTTGCTGCTCTGCCTTGCTCATTTCATTGGCATTAAGCATATGCATTATGCTTCATTTTGAGCCTTAGTGAATTATTCCGTTGCGGATATGAAAGTTGCTTCGCTGAACAACCGTCCCTCTTCGGTAATCTCTTGATCACCGATCTTGAGCTTTAGCACAGTAGGGATATTGTGGGGGAAGAACTGCACACAAAGTTAGAAATGAAACGCATTCTGAATGATTACCTCTATAAACTTACTTGGTAAATGTATGGCTTAGTTCCCGCCGCATTGGCGACGATTTTCTTGACGAAACCAGGAACTTCCGCCATGACGTCAATCCTGTCAACTCTCTCACCCATAGCGCATTCAATAACGGCTTCAACGGGTTTTCCGTCCTTTGTGGTACCGGACCAGGTAAACCTGATATCGGTGGGCTCGGGCCAGTCGTTCTCGGTGTCCTGCTTCGTCTTAAGATGTGTGGCGCCACATTTGGGTCCAGCAGTGATGATCTCCCCTTCCTTGGCAATTCCGCCGACGCCTACGACGGTCGTTCCATACGATGGTGGCGTGGTGAACTCCATCAGAATTGCGGAATATGTCGGTCCTTGATAATTGAGGAAATTCCACCGGGCTGCCAGATGGTGAGGCTTCATACCCTGTAAAGCATGGGAAAGGAACGCCTTCCCTTTGAAATCGATGGGTCCATTCTTCGTCATGATGCTCCCCTCAGCCGAACACCTTGGCCAGAACGCGTGTCGCATGGAGCCCCACGGGTGAGATAGGTCTGTACCGAACAAGGACTTGCCATTCTTGCCGACAACGAAGCCAGGCGCTACCTTTGTTATTTTAAGGTTGACAATGCACTGAGGATCGTTCATGGACTTGATTGTGTAAGAGTTCCCATCTTCGGATAGTTCTAGGGCGCAATCGGTGGCAAAAAAGCATGTTTTATCTTCACTGAACTCGGCGTGGCTCAAGGGCGAGGAGCTCCATAGGGGTTTCGTGCCGTCTGTGTAGAAGACCTTACAGTTGAACTGGCAAGTGGTGCGGATGCCACTTCAAGGAATGTCAGCTAGATCGAGAGGCAGCTGGGCGGTTGAAAACTCATACGCCACATTGCTATAAATGACTTGAGCAAAAGCTAAATGGCCACTCTCCGCCATGAAATAGAAAGTTTGGCTCTCGACACAGGTCGATTCCATAGCCTCCCATTTCATGTCATCTCTGGTTAATTCCGTATACGGCGTCGTTTTGGCATCTTCGGCGACTGATCTTATGGCCGAAGCGCCATAGATGGGCTCTTCCGTGCCCACGACATTAGCCAAACTAGGCAACCAGTTAGCTGAATACGCTAGGTATGGAAACTAGGGAAATTTGCTGCTGACGTTTGTTTTGCCCAGTTGAACATGATGTAGAAAGCGGGATAATCTGTCTAGGTGGTGATGATAGATAAATGGAAAAAAGAGATAATATAACGCTGACTAAGGGGGTAGGAAAAGAGGGAGAAAAGAGCGGTGATACTGGTGGTTCGTTAGGAAAGATATGTTCTTAATTAGTGTAGAGAGAGGACGGAAGTAGCTTGAGCTGTCGATATTTGGCGGGCTGGCGGGGTCCTCGAATAAAGTTTAGGTATCTCTGTACCTGAAACTCCACTATTTACAGGTACATATGGATGTACCTAGGTACACGGTACGGATCCGTAAACGAGCTGTTTTGAATTTTTGAATTAAAAGTTGAGGCGCTCTTAAAACTCAATTGTGGCTGATGTATAATTCTTGAACTTCCACCAACGAAATTGGAGCATGTTTTTTTGATCTAGAATATTAACGATCAACCCGCCCAGTCCCTCTTCGCATAACCCACGCCCGACAATTCCAAGATGTCGAAGGCACGCTCGGCTGCCACTGGCGCTGACCAGATGGTCAAGCTCATAGTGGGAGCTGGAAAAGCTGCTCCTAGTCCTCCAGTTGGTCCTGCGCTTGGAAGTAAAGGTGTTAAGTCGATGGATTTTTGCAAGGTAAAAACAAATTTAGTCGCTAATGTGATGCGCCGTAATTGATAACCATGCGCCTATAGGAATTCAATGCGCGAACGGCACACATTATACAAGGGACGCCTATGCCGACGCGAGTAACGGTACGAGCAGACAGATCATTCCATTTTGACGTTCGAACACCACAGACTTCGTGGCTCCTCAGGAATGCGGCGGACCTACCAGTTAGTAAGAAGGGGAAGAAAAAAGCTTCGAGCAAGCCGGGACACGAAATAGTAGGCACGGTTACTCTAAAACATATTTACGAAATTGCCAAGATAAAGCAAACCGAAGAACGGCTCTCCGGTCTTCCTCTAGAGGGTCTCTGCAGGGCTGTTATTTTCCAGGCCAAATCGATGGGTATCGCTGTTGTCGCATAAACGGAAGGCGGCCCCGATTTAGTCGCCTTTTGTAACATCATGCGTTAGAGCAGACGGGACGGGGTTGATTGTCGATTTCGGACCCTCTGTTATGCCTGTACAAATGAGATTTTGGCATGTATCACCAAAACTGCACGAAATGGACGGATCAAACGCAAAGTCCCTGATGTGTGCTTGCATGTGGTGCCCAATGCTGCGGAAACGTTGGAAATTGCCTCCCTGAATTTTGCGACGATCGGCGAGCCTTAGACACTTCGGCAGAAAGATAAGGCATTGCTGCAACCTCTCGACTACTCATATGTCGCTCCCCCCTCAGGAAATTTTGTAATAGTCTACCAGAATTGACAATCTATAAAAAGGGCTACATGGAAATTATATCGCTACTTGCTTATTAGGTGATAAGTAGTTAGAATTACCTACCTCTCTATACGTACGAGGGTAGTATTGGTGCTCCAAGACAGTTGTCAATGTGCTACCTACTTACCTAAGTTATAAAGCGATCTCGGTCTAGCTTACACAACTTGAAAGAGGCATCGATGAGGCGAAAAGTCCAGATCTTGAGGTTTAGAGAAATCTCATCGGATGGTGTACCAATTGAAGAAGTATTTATCTTAGTTATTTGATATATAAGTGTTGGTTAAAAGAATCCAAGCAATTATCAATCTGTACACCCTCGAGACACTTTATGGGCACAGTAGTTGCATAGCTTCCAAATACCTTCTAGAATGTCTAGAACTACGTGGGTCATGGAATAGCCTGGCCAGCCAAGCTCTACTTGTGAACAATAAGCTAACACAGGTACAAGGATACCACTAACTTTGCGCAACATGCCAAGTCGTACTGCGCATACTTAAATCCCGTATTCGTACGAACAAAAGCTTGATCTGAGGGGGTTTTTTCCTTTTTCTTTTTAATTGGTTACTTAGACCTCATCGAATTTCGGGTTATGCTGAACGGTCAATGCCGAACACGCTATGGTTCCTCAGGAGAAACAACGATCTAAAGTAAACCGCGTTGCCGGTTCGTGGAACCTGTGATAGTCATACCCCATCAAGGTGCTGCTCGGACAGATGTCTCAAACGGATTCGTCTCCAAATTTTGACATTCTGATAGGTCATATACAATAAGAGTATTGGTCGGGACCCAAAGCTATGGGTATTACCGTTTGAGCAATTGGCGGGCGTTTCGTTGGAAGAGAGAAATCTTGGCCCTGATAATGCATGGCAGATCACAGTCCCGCCGCGGACGGGATCCTGCAAGCTAATCAATTCCAGGCACACCTATAGCTTTATATCGGTGTTATTGGGTACATATATATAATGCAAGGTCGATGTTACTGAAAAAGTCTAGGACAACCCTGGCAGACTGGTCGACCTGGTACGCGAGCACCGCATTTATTCGTGTAGTGTATAATGGGTGTAATGTGTGTAGTAGGAAGAAGTTATTTTGTGATTACGCTATGGATCGGATTTGAGTCATGAACTATTATTAGACCGCTTAGATCGCTTAATTACGAAAAAGCTATCAAGTAACTAACTAACCGGGCAGGGATTTATGCATGATTGAAGAGCGGAGAGAGAGAGTCGAGAACGTTGAATAGATTTTTGATTTTTTTTTCCTGTTGGCCATTTTGAGATGTCCTGGCGATTATAGGAGCGTTTGTAATTTGTCAGCCTACTTCCCGACCTATTATATTCCTAAATCTCTCTACGACATCTAGACGCAAACGGATGGAAACCTTTTTGGTCCCCACCCAACAGGGATTCATCGGTGACCCACATGTTCCACTCTCAGGCCTCTAGTGACTCTTCAATACACTAGGTTTCTTTCTACCAACCCGGAACTGCGTCTGGTGCACTCCGGGTAAAGCGCCGAGGTAAGAGAGCCCAAAAGTACTTGAAGCAAAGTACTTGAAAGTACTGTACCAGGTTTGCTTCAAACTCGTTGCCAAATAGCCGGATCGGTATATGCAATTCGAGCCGTAAAATCCTCAAAACTTCCGTAGCTCAACCCGGTTGAGACGGCTGTCTATTCTGCGCATGTACAGTACACATTACATATGTATTGACGGGATCCGTACCTAATGATTTATTTCACATTTGGTTAACTTTGGTCATTTTGTCACTTTGATCACTCCAAGTCGCACAAAGTCCTATCACGTTCCCATATCTTAGATTCTTAGGTAAAAATTGGATCAAAAGTTCGTTCTTGCCGAGCAAGTGGGCAGGCAAGTGGGCAGCAGCGGAGAGCGGAGAGCAACTACCTCCTTCTACATACCCTTACTACTTGCAACTACGTACTTTACTATGTAGAAATTGCCCCACCATGATGGACATAAGTCAGTTCTCCCACAAGTTTTGAGAGAGATCTTTTAGACCTTTTACAAGGTCTGGCACATCATATCATCATCACTTAGCTTTTTTTCTTCCTTTTTTCTTTTTACTTTTCTTCATTTGATCTGCTCGCTCTCTTCCCTATTTATTCGCATTACCTTTTTGGGGGCCATCCCTCGGCCCAGCTTGCTACTAGCTCTTTTTATATCTTAGCATTTGGGATCCTATTGTTATCTAGCCTCTCGGTATTTCGATTGCCATGACAACCCCGAACGATGCTGATGATCTCCGCCCACTGGAGCAGTCGCAAGGTAATCACGATATTTTCTCTTTATAAACCGGCCAATAGACGTTCTCTACCATGTCTTACCTTCAGAATCAAGTTTCAATAGCTCAATAGCTCAATAGCTCAATAGCTCAATAGCTAACTATGTATATTTCCAACTTACTAGACAGCTCCAACGATGTATCCGAACGTACCGATGCCATCGTAAAGCCCTCAGAGCGCGCATCGGTACGCTTCTCATCGATAGTTGACGAAATCGATCCTCCAGTCTCGTCCTTCGGTGGTCCGGAAGCCCGAAGGGAGAGTTCTGCTACTCCTGATATAATACGAGCTCTGACCAATTCTATCCATGGCGCCCAGCTTCAAGAGCAGCGATTGATGAATTATTCGTTTGATCCAGTCTCCCTTCCGCCTTCTAGGGTACGCTATTTACCATTTGCTCTCAATTTATTTTCATATGAAATTCGTTCGCCCCAACAATGATTGCAAAATTCGGATGAAATTCTCCTTTATTCACCGCTGCGCCTCATTTCCCGTCCCAGACTAAAGCAAGGACTGGCGCCTTAGTATACGTGTGGTCCCGATAGCAATTATACGGTTTTATTAGATCTGGCTCTATGGGGTCCTCTTATAACTAACAGTATGCCTTCATTTAGGTTGCGTCTAACGAGACTACTCCTGGCGCAACTCCGCAGCATAGCCATAGCCCCATGGGCCATCCGTCGCCCCGATTGAGCCCTAAAGCTCCCGAGTTGGTATCACCACCACTTACGCCCGCTGGGACTTCCGCAGCGGAATCTTCTACGCGGAACTCGAAGTCCGTTCGAATTGCCAGTTCTGATGGCGGGTACGATTCCCAGGCGATAACACCACAAGCATCGGGACAAGATTCGAGACCAGTTTCGCCTCGAATGGGCCTACCGCACCGACCTGCCTCCACCGACAACATATCTCAACGATCGACTGCTGTAGACGAGCACGATGGCGGTATCCGCTCGCATCGAAAGGGGATTTTTAGCATCGGGCCCGGAGGCCAATCTCTACCTGTGTCTAGGGAATCGAGTCCCTCGAGAAATGCCGCATCTCAGTATTATTCGCGACCCTTTACTCCTCAAGGGGATATCAATGATCCGTATGCTGCAAGTAAACGACCGGTGCAGAACAAAGCAGGTGGCAGCATTGACCAGCGATTTGTCTTCTCTAGGAAGAAGAAACTTGGCTCCCCCTCTTCTTCATCAACAAACCTGACGAGGACAGATAAGCAAGAAAAAAGACACTCGGGACTTTTCTCAAATAAGAATAAGTCGGCTGATCTTCACCCGACAGGATCTGGCTCAACAACACATAGTGCACACGGATCTTCTATGTCTGATCTCAAGCGGTTTTTTAAAGTGGGCGTCAATCACAAGCCCAAGAAGCCCGCATCACCATCTCCTTTGGGGTCTAAGCCAGCTTACCAGGTCCCATTCGCCGATGATCACGGCCTCTCGTCCAAGTATGGGAAGCTGGGCCGAGTGCTTGGATCTGGCGCTGGAGGCTCTGTGAAACTTATGAAGAGAACAGAAGACAATACAGTATTTGCGGTGAAAGAATTCCGTCCTCGGCATTCGTATGAGACTGAAAAGGAATATGTGAAGAAATTGACGGCTGAATTCTGTATCGGATCTGCTTTACATCATGGCAACATTATTGAGACGCTCGACATTGTCCAAGAGAAGGGAAAATGGTACGAAGTCATGGAATACGCCCCATACGATCTTTTTGCCATTGTTATGACCGGGAAGATGTCTAAGGCGGAGATAACATGCTGTTTTCTACAAATACTAAGTGGGGTAACTTATCTTCACAGTTCCGGTCTCGCCCATCGGGATTTGAAATTGGATAATGTTGTCGTTAGCCAGCACGGTATCATGAAAATCATTGATTTTGGTAGTGCTCATGTTTTCAGGTATCCTTTTGAGACGGAAATCGTCCTTGCTTCTGGTAAGTCAGATGCCGCCATGCAGTTAATTAATCTTGTGGATCTCTAACAAGTCGCCAGGTGTTGTTGGATCAGATCCCTACCTTGCTCCAGAAGTTTATGATGAGCGCAAGTATGACCCTCAGGCGGTGGATATCTGGTCCCTTGCGATCATCTTCTGCTGCATGTCACTTAGAAGATTCCCCTGGAAGGTCCCGCGCTTGTCGGATAATTCGTATAAGCTTTTCGCAGCAGATCCGTCTCCCGGTCACGATCCCAAGAAGCTAATCCATCCTTCGAGATCCACAAACGACCTCGCAAATATCCCACAACGTGACATTTTTGTGGAAGACGATACGAGGCAGCAAAGCCCTAAGGCGAGCGAGCCCTCTACCCCTAGTAGTAATGGTACTGGCACCCAGGAAAAGAAAGAGGTCATTAAGGGTCCGTGGCGTCTGTTGAGGCTACTTCCTAGGGAGAGTAGACATATCATTGGGAGGATGTTGACGATCGATCCCAAAAAACGCGCTCAAATGCCTGAGATACTTGATGAACCTTGGGTTTCAGACACGGTTATCTGCAGGCAGGTTGACCACGGACAAGTCATCCATGCGGACGATCATACACATGTCCTTGAGCCGCCGGCACCACCAAGTAAGTAGAAACGCCGGGTGGTGTTTTGGCGGACTGTTAAGCGGACTATTAAGCGCATATTGCGATATTTTTAGGCGTAGGAGGGAACAGTAAGTTCCCAAAAGCGGCGTTTACGGGGTCATATAGCTTCGGGGTCATCAACGGCAAAGCGGGAGGGTGCAAACCATTCAGGTTCATAGCGGTATAGAACTTAGAGTATATGCTATCGCGTATAGAGGTTTGGGTAGATAAGATTCTTGTCCATTTTATTTATGAAGATGCCGTTGGCGGACCGCGGCATAGCTTAGGTACTAATAGATGCGAATTCAATTCAATTCTTACCGGAACGCTTTTAACTGTTCGGTATTTACATACTGTTACACAGCCTTATCTTAATGTCTTAGGTAAACAGGCACATTTTGCAGAAATAAGTTACACTTAGCTACCATTTACATTACTATAATATAACTAGCATGATGAATCCATACGAAACTGACCCTGACAAAATACCTGCAAATGATCTGTACGCGGATGTACCTTTATACGGCAGATACTTCCCCCGCCCCACTGACTTCGAACCCGATGCGAAGCATATTAACAGCACAACTCCAGAGTCCCTCAAGTACTGGTCCTCTGTGCTTGCACAATGCACGGAACTCAACAGGATTTATGAAAACGATGAAGGAGGGCGCGATGTCTTTGCGCTTGGAAGCGTAATCATCAAGTCGAGTCACTTGAAAGTAACTCCCGAGGGCCGGCGATCTTACCGCGACTACTCATACGCCGATGCAAACGAAGTGGAAGCTATTCGCCTTGCAGGAAAGGTGCTAGATGACATCAAAGTTCCCCAGGTTTATTTCGCTGCTAAGGTATATTCGACTTCGCTCTTTAATTACGTACTCAATCAATTTGTCCCTAATGTTTTTGTCGACAGATCGACGGACGGGATATATTTATACAAGAAAGAATTCCCGGTGTCGGCTTAAACATAGCCTGGCAGTACATTTCACAGTCTCAGAAAGCTTCCTTCAAAGAACAAGCACGGCAAATGCTACAGAAGCTGCGCACGGTTACTCCTCCAAGTAAGATCAGTTGCCGATCCTACATCATTCCGGATCCAGACCCCGTACATCATCGCGGTATACAACAAGTCGAGGAAGACATCATTCTTGCGGATAACAAGGAAGACCCCGATCTTAGCTTTATGCATAATGATGTTTCGCGGTCAAACTGCATCGTCGATAACGACAAGATAGTTGGGCTCGTCGACTGGGAGATGGCTGGTTTTTTCGGCTGGAAAACTGCAGCAAGTATTCACGTTCGAATTCGATCTCCGAAGCGTGAGAATTACGCTTCGCAGAATCTGCCTAAGGAATTACTGGATGACATCCTTTTCTGGAATGATTTATATGATGTGGAATAATTGTGCTTAAGAAATTGAAGAGCCCATTTTCTCTTTAACTCATCTTAAAGAAATTAAATCGAACTAGATTCTTTAATTCGTGATAGTTCCCGTAACAAAATAAAGTCCAAGTACCTGTGAGGTCGTCCGAATTAAGCAGTGGGGGATCTGGTCTGAGGTCACTTGAGATAGTGTAAATCGGGATGATGTACGCAAGGATTCGGCTGGCCCCGGATAGGCGGGTTCTAGGCCAAAGGTAGCCCCGGCGTTCGGAAAAACCGAGGAATAAAAAGTTTGGGTCTATCGGCCACTTGAAGCTTCCAAAGCTTTCTAAAGATCCATCCACCACTTTGCGATAGCTTCAAATTTAGATCTTCCAGCTCCCAATTCGTTGCAGTTCGTCGAAAAAAAAAATTCTCTACCCTTTCGAATTCACGAACTTCTCTCTGTATATACTTCGCAATGGTATGCTCGATTTCTAAATTATTGCATCATTCTATGCTATGACGTGCGCTTTGCAATCTCGCACCCTACGCTCGTCTTAATTTTTTCGCTCCGTTCATTTGCTCTACGAGACTTAACTGACATGTAAGCACCACAGGCTACCGCTATCCGATCGGTCAAGTCCCTTGTCCCTCTCCTGGACCGTGTGCTGGTCCAGCGAATCAAGGCCGAAGCTAAGACCGCCAGCGGCATCTTCCTGCCCGAGTCCAGCGTGAAGGAGCTCAACGAAGGCAGAGTTTTAGCTGTCGGGCCCGGCGCGCTGAACAAGGACGGCCAACGTTTGGCTATGGGTGTGCAGACGGGAGACCGGGTGTTGATTCCTCAGGTAAGTTAGGACAGTCTATGGGCTCAAGTCGATAAGAGAATTCTTGCGCCCCCCTCTACATATCTACAGAATTTTAGCTAACACGTATATCCAGTACGGCGGTTCCCCCGTCAAGGTCGGCGAGGAGGAATTCCACCTCTTCCGCGACAGCGAGTAAGTTTCAGCATATGCAGTCATCCTCGAAGGGCGACGCCCCAATACTGACAATTCTTGCTAGGATTCTGGCCAAGATCAACGAGTAATTATAACGATACCCACGATTGATGACACCGATGTACCATAGTATGTATGTACAACAGGAGGCAAAAAAAGAATTTAAAAAGAGCTCGGGTCTGGTCAAGCTTTGCATAGCGCAACGTGATTTGGCGGCCGGTTGGGAAAGGCGTCTTCGCGGACCGTAGGGTAGTGCCTAGTCTAAGAGGCTCGACTTTTGCGGTTTTGAGGTGCAGTTAATCTCCACTCTTCCCTCCAAAATATGTTCTTTAAGAACTAGCGACTACTTACCTATTCATGAAATGATATGGAAGGCAATTGCAAGTGTTCCCCCGAGTACCAGCTATTCGATGTGATTAGTCTAGCTCTTTACCTGTGACTGAAATAAGCACCGAGAAGCAATGGGATTACTTGCCCCTGAGCGGGAGGTTGCTGTTCAAGAGTCTATCTGACCTGTAGAAACTCCATTGAAGTACTTTCTAGTATACATATGTGCTTGTCACGGCACTATTATAATTATGAGATTTGTTGGGGCAGTTTAAGGGGTTTTAACGAGTCTGAAATGAGAGTTCACAGATAACAGGGAGTAGCCACATAGTCGAAATGGCAGTAATTTGGATTCTTGAAAATAAACACCAAATTTGGTGTTCTCATCTTTGACATGACAAATACCTTTCAAAGCCAGAGCTCACGCAATCTCAAATTTCAAAGTATAAATGAGGTGATTAATACTTAACTATTTAATCTACATCTACCCAATCATCAAACTACGATCCCTCGTTAATACAAGCCGAACCATGGCAATTCTTAGACGTCTAAATTGCACAGAGATGAGTAGGACAGTCGGATGACTGACTAATATAGAGCCAATCTCGTAATTTATCTTGAAAGGGGCAGCCAATCGATGAGTACCTTAGGTTAAGTACCTAACTCATCAGCCAAGCAGAAAGCAAAGCGCCTCGGAGAAGCCCGCATGCAAACGCCAGGGGCTTATACGTTCGGGTGCATTTTCGGCACGTTTCGTTTCTTTCCACCATTGAAAATTCCCACGAGAGGGACTAAAGGGCTGGGACGAAGACGTTTCAGCTTCATTCGGTGCGCCCCGGGTGATTGGTCGCTGTATGCCCCAAGGTACCTAATATATATTAATGCAGCCAGCCTCCCGCCCCTTGCATCGAAGCTGCACCTCGTCTTATTCAACTAATTCCCCGGATTTCCAACAACGTCATCTCACGTGGTACCGTTGTACTCTTCTATCTGAGACCAAGGAATCAGGGTCCATGGTAGCTTGGGTCTGTCTACCCCTGAGAAAATCTTGGATACTTGCAAACACCCACTCTAGCGCTCCTATTCGTCGTTGGATGCGAAGCGCCTTTGGGAGCGGAAGAAGCTTGGCTGGCTGGGTGTGTAGCTGAAAGGGAATTATCCTCGAATCATGCTTTTTAAGGAAGGTATACATAGTAGTTGCTTAGATATGGTTTGACATGTCATATGTATTGTAAAATTTCCTTCGGTGTATGGGTTAATTTATAGGCAATTTAGAATTTTCCCCTCAGGTTGTTTGCTTTCCAAGATAGGGAGACATCTATCTCGTCTCCTACTTCCGTCTAGCGCTGGGTATCTACTTATATATGAGTAGGAATACTCATTTTTTTTCTATCGATGACTTGTTCGCTCTATTCGCTCATTCTTCGATTCTTGCCGATATGTTCATTCTCTGATCCAAATATACTTCAAGTCCAAAGGGGCATTATATACACTCGTTTTCTTAGCTGAGCTAGTCCATTTCTCTTTCATTCGCCTGGAGCTTGAGTATCGCCTTCTTTTATTTAAGAAAAGAAAGAAGGAAAAAGACCCTTCGGTTATCGTTGATTTATTCTTCAAGATGAAGTATTCCCCTTTTTTTCTTGTGGCTATAGCTACTGCTCTCCTTACGGTAGCAGACGCGCACACCATATTCACGACGCTTTTTATCAACAATGTCTCTCAAGGGGACGGAACGTGTGTCAGGATGAGCATGGATCCCCAACACTGCACCTCTCCCATAGCTGGCTTAGACAGCGATGATATGGCCTGCGGTAGGTTATCAACCTCCTACGTAACCATAACGGCCGACTAACTGTTGATTAGGTGTTGATGGCGAGAAACCTGTTGCTTTCACCTGCCCCGCACCGGCCGGTGGGAAACTTACCTTCGAGTGGCGCACATGGGCCGATGCTGAGCAACCCGGATCTATAGATAAATCACACAAGGTATGTTGCATCTAGAATGACCGATGACGTTGGACCATACTTACTTTGAGAACTTAGGGGCCTTGTGCCGTATATGCTAAACAGGTGAAAGACATAGCAACAGACTCAGCTGCGGGCCCTGGATGGATAAAACTTGTAAGCGTTCTCTTTAAATCTGCCATGCACTGCCGCGGAGTTGTTATAACTGCCCGTCTTCACGTTTTTATGAGGTCTAGAGCTCAAAATTACTCCATTATCTTTGGATATGGATCTCTGCTAACCCTGTACGCAGTGGGAAGAAGGCTATGATGAGTCGAGCGGCAAGTGGTGCACGGAGAAGCTGATCGATAACAACGGCTTAATGTCCGTTGATATTCCAGAGTCACTTCCTGGTGGTTCGTGGCTCTTCAGGCCCGAACTCCTAGCTCTTCACCAGGCGGATAAGGGCGATCCGCAATTCTACACAGGGTGCGCGCAGGTTTTCATCGACAGCGGAAACACGGCAGCACTTGACGTGCCCAAAGAGTACAGTGTTAGTATACCGGGCTACGTCCAGGTCGGCGAGCCTGCGGTATCTTTCAACATCTACCAGCCGCAATTCCCGTATCCGATGCCTGGACCAAAGGTCTACAAGCCCGCAAAACCCAAAGGCATGGCGGCTTTTACCTCGACCTCAACCTCGTCCAAGGCACTGAAGCAGACCGAGGGCAATATCCCCGCGAACTACCTCATCAAGAACGCAAATTGGGTTGGAGTGGAAGTATCCTCCTACTCAACCGAGGACGGATGCTGGAAGGCATCTGAGGAATGTTGGAACCAGGCTAAGGGTTGCTACGACTCGGCACCGCCGACGGGGAGCGCCAACTGCCGAGTCTGGGAGAGCAAGTGTGACGGCATCAGCGATGCTTGCAGTGCTGGCGACTTCGACGGCCCTCCGAATAAAGGCCAGAAGCTCCAAAACGAGGATCCGACACCCCCGGAGAAAATTCCTGGAGCCGCAGATGGTAGTGGCTCTAGAAAAATGAGGGCACGCCGTGCTAGAGCACTGGTTTCGGCGCTCTCTTGAAATAGGGGATTTATCATACTAATACCTATAGTACTTCTACAGTTGAGAACCCCTGGCTGGGTTTGACGACATTACGTTGAAGTTTGCGGGATATATGTAAGTATCTATGGACTAGGAAAATGATTACACTCTGGTTGCGTCTGTTGCAACATGTACCTGAACGGCGCAAACTCGTCTCAGGTGATTGCGCCATATATAATATATATATATTTCTTACCATTATAGGTACCTAAGGCAGGTAGTAACCCCGGTTTCCCCGTATTTCAAAGTATTTCTAGAATAGTCTTTTATGGTTATTGTTACATTGTCAGTACTATGTATGGGCTTTGTAAAGAAGGCGTCATTAATAAGACGGCTGTCGGTCTGTGCTAGATTGTGATGGTGGCGTTGTACTAGGCAAGTCAAGTAGCTCTGGTTGACTATGTGATGTATAAGTTGATTTAGTTAGAGCTTTAGAGAAACTAAGATTGTGCGGATTGTTATTGACATGATGTCGTACGTTTTGGTAAAATATAATACAGGTTAAAAAAAAAAAAGGAGATATGTAGTGTGTAAACTCGGTGGAGTAGGAAAGTGTTAGGTTAGGAGGTACATAACGTAACTAATACCTAACAAATACCTAACAAATGCCTCGTATGGTAACAACTAAAACAACCTCTAACGGGGCCCTTCGGCAGTCGGAAGCAAACAAACATCGCAGTTGATTAATAAAGCCTCCGAGCCGGGTGGATCTCATCATCCCGCTGTCAAATGACGAAGTTCGGAATAGAATAATGATGATGACAAAACAAATGGTCTAAACTAAGGGTCAAATGCCGTAACAGCGCCTTCTTCACCGTCACTTGTAGATAACCATGTCTAAGTTGCTAAGCTAATACTAATATCCAAGCCTTATATTGTCCAAGCCCTGTCCTAATCAAACTTTGATTTCTTTATAAAATGCTACCCTGCTCAAGCGCTAGTCGGTAGACAAGTCTTTCTCATTTAATTATTTTTTATACATAGTACCATTTCACCATTGGATCCAAAAGTAGTCCCAGGTACACCATCCCCAAAAATAGAAATAGACAAAAAAGGGCCTAAATTAGCCATTTCCACTCTTTTTTTTTCGCTTCGGGTCTCGACCGTTAATGACCTGACAAGAAGCTCATCAAAAAAGGGAAAGGAAGAAGAAAAAAAAAAAAAAAAAAAAAACAGGTGGTTAGACTAGACTTGTCGCAAAAGAAAAAAAAAGATTTTATTTATTTGGGAAGTGTTACTTGGAGAAAGAAAGAAACAATTGGTTGAATAGCGACGATATTGACGAATCATTTATATATCCCACTCAGCACAAAACGCACAAGCACAAAAACGCAGCCATGACGGTTCCTATCCATCACATCATCGAGACCCCTCCGCGGGCACCGTCCCCTGTCCACGGATTCGGAACCCTTGCTGTCCATGCCGGTGCCCCCCACGATCCTACAACCGGCGCCGTCATCGAGCCCATCTCTCTATCCACTACTTTCGCCCAGACTGCTGTCGGAAAGCCCGTCGGCTTATACGAGTATTCGCGCAGCTCCAATCCCAACCGCGATAACTTCGAGCAAGCCGTCGCCGCCTTGGAGCATGCCAAATACGCACTCGCCTTCAGCAGCGGAAGCGCTGCCACTGCTACCATTCTCCAGAGCTTGGCTCAGGGCTCCCACGTCATCAGCGTGAGCGACGTCTACGGCGGTACCCACCGCTATTTCACCCGAGTCGCTAAGGCTCATGGTGTTACTGTTACCTTTACCCCTCAGATCGAGGTGGACATTGCAGAGCACATCCGCGACAACACCAAATTAGTATGGATTGAGTCGCCTAGCAATCCTACCTTGCGCCTTGTAGATATCCGCGCCGTCGTCAACGCAGCCCACTCGCGAGGCGTCGCTGTTGTTGTTGACAATACCTTCCTTAGCCCCTACGTCCAGAATCCCCTCGACCATGGCGCCGACATCGTCGTCCACAGTGTCACCAAGTACATCAATGGACACAGCGACGTTGTTATGGGAATAGCCGCATTCAACTCGGATGAATTGCGTGAACGTATTTCCTTCCTACAGAATGCCGGCGGTGCTGTCCCGTCAGCCTTCGACTCCTGGCTTGCCCACCGAGGAGTTAAGACGCTGCACTTGCGAGTGAGGCAGTCAAGCGGCAACGCTACGGCTGTGGCGAGAGCCCTGGAGGCTAGCCCCCACGTCATTTCCGTAAATTACCCCGGTCTAGACTCTCACCCACACAGGCATATTGCTCTGAAACAGCACCGAGAGGGTATGGGCGGCGGTATGCTTTCGTTCCGTATCAAGGGAGGCCGGGCCGCGGCTGAGCGGTTCTGCCAGCTGACCAAGATCTTCACGCTGGCCGAGAGTTTAGGTGGCATCGAGAGTCTGGTCGAACTGCCGAGCGCAATGACGCACGCCGGCATCCCTCGAGAACAGCGAGAGGCTGTAGGCGTTTTTGACGACCTCGTGCGCGTGAGCTGCGGTATAGAGGAGCCGGAAGACCTGCTTCGTGATGTTCAGCAGGCGTTGGAGAAGGCGGTGTCCGAGACTGCTGCTTCGAGCAATGGGACCAATGGCGTTAACGGACATGAATCACAATAGACGCGGGCTAGAGAGCGGTAAATGAGTATCCAACCCACCATCGCCGAAATGACGGAAGCGTTATATCGAAACCGATATTATTATCTGTTTGGCGTTATGTTCGTATCCGGTCGGAGCGTATGGCGTGTTCCAGGCCCATAGGGGAGTCGACAGCACAGCCAATACATAGACAACTGCATTTTACGGTGGGATCAACAACGTGTTAGCGCCTTGGTGTGCGAAATAAATAGATCGTTTGAGTTTTTATGGACAACTAGCTAGAATAACGCGGGACAGTATAAACCAGACGTGTGAGGCGGGAGAGTATATGTCTAGCTTACGCAAATCTCATCTTGGTGTACACTTATAATGACCACTCATGACCACTCCTTATACTTGTGATACATACTAAAGTTATCTGTGCTGTGATTCCGCCATACTAATGGGAATATGCAGGTGCCAAACAGGTAGCCAGCGAGTAATTTAGAGCAAGCTGTACTGCAATATATTTAGGCCAGGAGAGATATGGGCGAAGCGATAAAACAATTAATTCTCTGAAGTGCTATTCTCTTGGGATCTTGGGATCTTAGCTGGCTAATAGAAGAACAGAAATAAACCCAAAGCTAAGAAGCTAAACCGAGAAATCGAGAGTAAACGATATCCCCTCCCAATTAGGGGCGCGATGGGAAGAGGATTAATGTAGACGACCTCGTATACTTACCGAGTACACCGCAAGATCAATATCACGCCCATACTATCACTGTGCTCTGCCGCCTCGTTAGGAACGATCTTCATTATCCTCCGTATTCGCGGCGCGGAGAACGGAACTCCTAAGATTTATTGGTCTTGGCAAGCACTGATGAATCGAAGAGTCTGCACATACCTATTGGTAAGTCGGCACATGTGACATCGATTTTTCTATGTACGGTCGAGTTGATATCTGCTTGCGTTCATCGTTGTCAGCGCGCATCTTCAACAACTAAATTTCCGATAGGACTGTGCAAGTTCGCTGGTTGAGGTTTTAGCACGGGAGGAGACTTAGTTAACGTCCCGGGTAATATAATACAAATTGAACAGAACAACGGAGTATGGTGGTGATACGTTAAGAGTGGCAGGAAAACAGGGCTCTGAGTTAGCTTAAGATAGGTATGCCAAATTTCGTCCTCTCCACTGTTCGTGGGAAAGATTTGGAATTGCTCTTCTGCCAGGGATGACGATGATGATTACCCGCTCCACTTGCGGCGGCGCAGCTCTAGTTAGGGCTGATCCGGTCGTTGTCAGGGGCTCCACGTTAGATATCTGACGGACCCCGATGATTAGAGGACGGGAATATCATCACGTTGACCTGGTGGGGGGGATGAAGGTCGCCGCGCCACGATGGTGTATTTGGAATTGCATTGATATTTGTTTGCAGTAGAGATATCGGGTCTTTGGCTTAGCTGTATAAGAACGGGCTAGTTCACCCCTTTCCCTCATGATGAACGACATAGCTTCACCAGCAAGTCTTCATCTTCAACTTCAATAATAAAATACCTAGTTGAATGTAAAAAATGGCCCCAAAAATTCTATCCAGCCTCCTCCTAGCGAGCCTCGCGGCCGCGGTCGTCTCGGCGCGCAACTGCAAGAACCTGACGATCCCGCTCTCGCTCTCCGCGCAGAATATGGACTTCACGCTTAAGGCGCCGGCCAACGATATCGAAGTCACCAACTTCGTCTTGAACTCCGGTCGGGCGGGTGCGAACTACGCTGACGAGATACTAAGCGAAAACAAGGTGAGCGTCGGCTCCATCTCTTCTTCAACAACATCACCTTTGCCTAGACACTACATAACATACAAGTTCCCTATGCAAGCGTCGGTGAAAGGAGTAGGTAACGTCCAACTAACCAGATACTCCCTACTAGTACCGAACCGTGACAGGCAACTACTCCATCGCCGCAACCTACTGCGAGCCCGACGCGGGCCCGGGCCGCACGCTGCAGATTCTCACTCGGTATGTATACCAATACGTGTAGAAAAACCCGTCCCTGAAACCTCCCTGTCCCTAGTAGCAAACTAACTAACACTTCGCAGTAAGCAACAAACCCCCTTTATTCTCGCCAAGCAAAATCCATCCCCTCGCCCCTTTCTCAGAGAGCCATACCGGATTCTTCTCCGGCAGACAAGAGCTACAAACCCAACCCAACCCAACCCAATCTATATACTAACATCCATCCCCCACCCCCAGACGGCGCCGCCTTCGACCGGACATACTGGGACTTCCCCTTCCACGCCTACAACTACAGCTACGCCAACGCCGCCCTAGCCCGGAACTACAGCGTATTCTTCTTCGACCGCCCTGGCATCGGCGAATCCACGCGCGGCGACCCCGTCGCCGCCATCCAGTCCAGCCTCGAGCTATCCGCCCTGCGCGCGCTGACCGCGAAGCTCCGCCGCGGCAGCGTCCGCGGCATCAGCGCGCGCTACGAGCGCGTCGTGCACGTCGGCCACAGCTACGGCTCCGCGCAGACCTACGCCCTGACAGCCGCGCACCCCGACGACGGCACGTCCGACGCCGTCGCCCTGACGGGCTTCAGCCAGGGGCTGGGGACGTACGTGGGGAACTTCCTGTTCGGGGGCAACTTCGTGCTGGCGGGAGCTGGCTACGGGCCCGGGTACATTACGTGCGGCGACGTCTCGGCCGTGCAGACTAATTTCTTCGCCCCGGACAACTTCGACCCGGACATCCTCCAAGCAACTTACGCGACGAGCGCGCCGACCGCCGTCGGTGAGCTGTTGACTATCGGTAGCCTGACGACTACGAATAATAGCTTTACTGGACCTGTTCTTGTTATTACGGGAGGTAAGATGAGCCCCTATTCACCGAGTCCGCTCAGCCATGACGGGTATAAATAACAAGCTAACTTTCTATTTTAGAGCGCGACGGTGCATTCTGCGGAGGCAACTGTTACGTGTCCGAGCCCAGCATCCCTGACCAGACGGGGAATTCCTTCACTAATACAACTTCTTTCGAGGCTTTTGTTGTTCCCGGTGCTGGCCACGGCCTAAACTTGGTAAGCATTCATTCTCTAGTTACTATGAAATGTCGCCGGATTGGTGCTAACTACCTATGAATAGGAGTATACCGCGCAGGCGACATACGCCAAAATCCTCGACTTTTTTGACAAGAGCGTTTAGAGTTAGATACATGTCGCCTTTAGTATCCTATGGAGGATTGTATTATCTATATAGAGTCATAGAGAAGCTCAATTAAGCAAAGATGCCACCACTTGATCTCCATTTTCCCCATCCGGTGATCCAGTGATTGCTTCCATGAGTCCAAACGTACAGGAAAGGCTTCGCAAACTAGAACAAAGAAAGTATCTTGAAGTTCATTGTTGAATGCCCTATTGCCGTTGTAATGATAATATCAGCCGCAAAACCTGCTTAGTTTGGACTCCTTTAGAAACCGCCATAAGTATCGATGATATTATCGAAAGATATCTACTCGTCGTCGATATCATCTTCATCGTCATCTGTGTTTTAAAATTAGCAAAATCCCAATGCCTACGATGCCTAATGGATTGGTGATCCTAATACGCACCTTCGGATGATAAAAGATCGCTGTACTCTTGCATATCCCGAACAGAAGGCCAATTGATGAACATTGAGCCAATCAATTCTCCCGAAGAACGTTCGACTATGAGATTTAAAGTTAGCCATTGTTTACTTTTTTAGTATGCCCGTAAGCAGTCTTATGGACACTCGAAGTATAAGGGATAATGAACATACAGTCGTTGCCTGTCCACTCCGTGACGAAATTCGGAGCCCTTGAAGTTTGGCTTCTATCTTTAAATTCTATCGAATACGCGGACATGGCAAGTATCTGTGTTAAGAAAGAGAGTCGTATGACGGATAAGTTGAATTTGAGTTTCGCCATCTGTCCGAAGAACAAAGCCCAGAGGTTGACCCTGTTGTCCGCAACCTGGTTTTGCGAATCGATAGAGAAGGTAACCTTGTGAAGAGAGATTATGCGTAAGCTTGACTTAAACCTCTTGTAAATGTCGAGAAGCAGGGTTGGCTCGATAGTTATCATCCCAATTTCAAGCTCCTCCAGATGCTCAAATGCAGGGGTCTGCGGTATCCGTGGTAGCTTTTCTTGCATCTTATTTACTTCGATCCCTTGGTGTTTTGAGCCGCTCGGGGACTCAGGCGTACGAATCAACCACTGAAGGAGGCCCTGGGTTTCGTCTTTAGCACAGCTCCGGAAATTCAATCTCAGATGTTCTAAAGATGTCGTTTTCGACAGGAATGTCACCAGAGTGAGGCCAAGATAGCTCTGGTAATTTCCCCCGTTGTTAATAACCAGGGTAGAAAATGACGCAGGGCCCAAATCTAGGAAGAGCGTCTTGAGGTCTTTGAGAAAGGGCGTAACCGTTGATTCAAGATAGCAAGGCACATTGAATGCTAGACTCGGGAGATGACAATTTCTAAGGATTACCTCCAGCTGAGTAGGAGCATGTGTCTCTTTAGCCTTGCCTAGGGCTCGGAGCATCGTTAAGAACACGTGGGAAATGTATTGCATACGTGATTCCACCAAGCTAGAGTCAAGATGGCGGCCGCCGAATCGTGGTTGATCAAGGGGGAAGTTTGTTTCGTGGAGGAATGTTGGGGCACCGTAAGCGTGCCAGGTATTATCTGCTCCATCGCGATAGCGGCCTGAAGAGTTGAAGTCGCGTAGTCCGACTGTTTTGAGGTTGGGTAGATTGCAAAGAGCTTCAGTGAGAAGTTGGAGGTCTCGACCTGTGGTGATTAAGGCCTGGTGGCTCATGTGTTCTTCCCGTACCTTATTATATCGTAGTGCTTGTTCAACATCGGAAAAGACCTGCATATGAACTGGCAGACTAGGTGATATAGGCGGACGCTCAACACTGATCATCAGATGAGACAGGCTAGGCGCGAGTCTGGACTTAGAGATGTCTACGAGTGCGCCAAGACTGAACTCGCTAATCATGAACTGCCTCTTTGTGAAGAACTCGTGGGTGAATGACTGGAGGAGAGACGCCTCCAGTCGCCGACAAACAAGGCGAAGATTTCCACAATCTGAAGTTGTAAGATAGGAAGTTATCTGAAGAAGCACTTCAAGAGGAATATCTAAGAAGGGACTCATATTGTCAACCTCCATAGTTTGAAACCTTTTGAAACCTACGGTCGTGACGTCGTAGTGTTGACAAATTGGGAAATTGAGAAATTGGGGGCGGGATGGATTAATGGTTGATGGTTGATACTGGTAATCGGCCAGGAGAGACGCGAGAGGGGTAGAACAATTGAACAAGAATGTAAGACGACTTGCTTGAATTGCTTGTCGGAATTGATATTTAGGAAAGACGGGAGGACGGGAAAGAATTTAGAAATGAAAGTGTTTTTGGGTTTTAAGTTGTTTGCACCTTCGTCACATTGAAGGTTCCAGCTGCCAGGCAGAATGGGGGTTGACATTGTACAATAGAGTTATCTAGGCAGCTAGGCACCTGCTAGGCAACTGCTAGGTTAGGTACTTGTTAGCAGGTACGGTAATCCGTAGCTTACTACATGAGCTGGAAAGGCAAGGCAGCACTGTACCTGCCGTACCTGCCGTACCTGCCTAAGTGCAGATGAGTGCAAATGGTCGTGATTGGTCCAAGTGTCTTGAAAGGGGAACGGCCGTATGCGATCCGTGCATAATATGCACTTAGCAGTTATTTTCCTCAAAAGCACAAATGACTTCGCCAACCACCTGCACTTTGCACGGATACATGACACATGTAATAATACTAACCTCACCTACAAGAAACTTGGAACCGTGTGAATTCTCCAAGTATGGTTCCGACGGACGTGAAGGCCGAAATAATATGTGCAAACTTTTCCAGAGGGGTAAATAATTCATTTCCCCTGAAGCGGTAAATGACCGCTGTGATATTGCTAACTAGAGGTACCAAACCCTTTTATGTCCGATAAATATACAAAAATTAACGCTTCGTAACCCTCCCCGATAACCCTATTATACAGTTTTTTGATGATTCTTGTCATACTTGTTGCCAATGTCCGCCTCCTCATCAAACTCTTCTTGTTGACTGCTACTCTGGTCGTAAGCAAGTCTGACCTCATCAATCTGGTCACCCACTTCCATCCATGCATCGCTGCAGGCTGGTACGGGGAACAGCTTGCATAAAGCCCAGTACATCCCCCCAGAAATAATAAATCCACAGAAGAAGTTGAAATTATAGATGTAAGTTGCTCCCATGGGAACATTGCCACCGTTCACCGCCCCGGCGAATCCAACCACGTTGATGAGAATGCCACTGATATATGCGGCATAAGCTCTCCAATGAAAGCCATAAGTGAAGTAGTACGGCCCTGTCTTGCGAGCATTGTAAAGCTCCCTAATTTCAAGATAGCCTCTTCGGACTAGGTAGTAATCGCTACACATAACGCCGGCTATCGAACTAAGAAAGACCGAGTAGGACGAAAGATAGGTCGTAAATTGATTACTGGATGTGAGCAAGTTGTAAGGGCACATGGCTAAGCCAACAATAGCACAGATGTAGCCACCACGGCGAATGTTGATGAACCGCGGAAGTAGTGCCGTCATATCTGTTCCCGCCGAAACCGAATTCGCTGCGATGTTTGTACCCAATTGAGCTAGGGCAAAAGCGAGAGAGATAACGAAGACACCAAAACGTTGGCCGGAACTACCATCGTCGATAAATCTCTCTAGTAGGTCAAGGGGGTCCCAGATCGGTTCGCTCCCAGGGTAGATGATGACCGAGCTAGATGAGACTAATATGCCGATCAAGGAAGTGATGGCGAAACCAATAGGAATGGTTAAAAGCTGTGACCAAAGAGCATCACGAGGCTTAGTAGAGAAACGAGAGAAGTCAGGGTCGTTTACTATGAGTGTTGCGAAGTTGGCAATCGAACTCATAACACCCTTAATAAATTGCCATGCGAGGTCGCTACCTTGTACCGTTGCTCGTTGCCGAACAATAGGACCCGGGCCCCCGGCACGAACAAGCGCCCAGATCAAGAAAGCGATGCCAGCGCAAGGGACGAAGTAAGCTTTGACAGTGAAAAGATGTCGAACCTTATGCACAGGGAACCAGATTGCCGGTAGCGATAGGAGCCAGAAGAGGAAAAATGAGACATAGTCGGCGGTCGTAGTCCCCGAGTCCTCTGAGAATGAGTTCGGGATAGTTTTCCGGTCCTAAGAGGTGTTAGTAGTTCAACTTCTTCTTCTTCTTCTCCTTCTTAATGCGAGTACAGCAATCCAGCCAAACTCACCCAACTAAGCCAGATGGATCGAATCATGAGATACACGCAGTGTCCACCTATATACGCCTGCACGCCGTACCAAATACACGCCATGGCAGCGCGATTAAATACGGGCCAGAGGCAGCCCCATATTCCAAAACTCGATCGGTTCACAACCGGGAAGCCGACATGGTACATGGCTCCGATGCGACCGGTCATGCAGACGAAACATCCGGCGATCGCGTACCCAATCCATACGCAGAGCCAGGACTGCCACCACGAGAGTCCACCCACGATCATGGACGAGCTAATCATCCACGTGTTAATGTTGAAAGAATCAGCAATCCAGAAGCCAACGAAGTTCCACGCTCCCCATTGGCGACGTTCGGGCTCGACAGGTTTGAGATCATTATTTGTTAACTGATTGGGTCGGTTAGTTCTGCGATTGTTTCGACTGGCTACCTTTTCATAGCACGATATCGGATGCCGAGAATGAGATGGGTGTGCGGATTCAGCCTTACCATCAACTGGGCGACTGTAAGGCCATCTTCGTTATCTACAGCGGCCTTGTCCATCCAACTACTGATCCTCGAATTATGAAGCCTGTCCATCGTGGCGACCAATCTAGCAGACCGTCAGACCCTGGATGAAATGGTCGAAGTGGGTTCCGCTGCGTTTAGGTAATTGTCGAGTTATGGTAACTAAACGCACGTGTATCGATTTTCTCTTTTCTCACATGTATGACGCGCAAACCCAGCCGGAATTAGTACTTATAAACTTAGTAGGTAAGCGATAGGATGGTTGGGTTCGTGTCCGTGTCGCATTAAGCTATGACATCAAGCATTGTGCGTCGAAACTCTAGGCTTTTGAACCTTGAGTATGCGATACTGGCCCTATAGAAACAGATATGGTAACAGATATGTGCGTGGGAAGTAGAAACAGATATATGTATATTCTCTTCCAAGATAAACGAAATTGAAAAGGAAGGAAGAGTAATAAGTATTACATCCGTCAAGCCATCATGATTAGGTACCTAGGCACTTAATCCCTACAGGCTACAGTACTTGAGATATCTGACATAGCACATACACGTAAAGTCCAGAGCAGGAAGATTCCCCCACACTATCTAATGTACATACAAACCTCCAAATGCTCATCTCGTTACCTACCGTTGTGCATGTGGCTATCCGGCTAGGTATCTGGGTATGCACATTCCTAAACATAACGAATCCATCTGTCCATTTACACGACTTCGGTGTCGCCGCCAATAGAGATAAGCCAGTTGAAGATAAGCTGCTGATTGGCCAACGACGACATTCGATCGTATTTGATATGGTCGTTTCAGGTTTAGCGGTAGTCGGGGATTATACTAGTGTAAGGGTCCCCCTGGTCTGCAATGGATCATCAGCCCCGCTGAAACCCCATGTGTCCCGCAGATTATGACGCTACCGCTATCTGCTATCTGTGAATTATGTCATCTCATCGAGCAATTCTTTCCAAAATCCCCCGCCTAGCCTTCTTGGCTTTCCCAGCTCTTTTTATCGTCTAATCGCCTCACGCGACAGCCCCACCAGCTTCAGCATCGTCGGATGCAAACCTTTATATGTACCTTAGGTACCTAACTAGTGCTGGCTACGTAAACTCGCCGGTCGCACCCCTTATGTACACTAGGGGTGCTGCGCTTTAATTAAGGATAGCGTCGCAGGGGTTAAAGCCAATAAAATAATAGTACGAAGTTGAAAAATTACTGAAAAAGGCAAGAGAATTATGGAAAGTTATGGAATTCTATGAAAGTTGGAAAATACTTTTTAAATATATGGGAAGCCCTCCTATTCGGGAGTACCTCGGATCAATCCTTAATTACATACCAACCGTTTCCTTAATTAAAGCCGAGGGGAGTTTACGTACCCAACACAAGTATTTGTATCTTAGTCATTATCCTCATAGTGAAACATAAATGTGAGTCGTCAATAGGTTATTTAGTCTCGTATATGCTTATTGGCACTACACCGGATAAATAATCGGAAAGGATATGTATAAGCCATGAGAAACAATTTAGTTGTTGTTAATGAAGAATCATGGTCTTATCTGAGAATAGACTACTGATGTAGCTGGGAAACTCTTTGTTCGAGATGTTCAACTTTGAATAGCTTAGGGTTCAATAGCTAAAACTATAGACATGGAGGAACTAATATAATTACAAGGCTATGATGCCTCTGTGTACTTAAATACCTGGGTATATATAAGAAGCTTACCTTGAGACCATCCTGAAACATCATAGACAAAGAAGAGTTATATATATAATCATGGTCCTAGATAGCTAAGTTTATGTTTTTCTAACTATCCTTATATCACAAGGTGCGCTTATGAGGCATGGAAACAACTTTGTTGTTCCATAAGGAACCCCAACCCTAGAACATGGAAACTAGTGGTCATACACACTAGGGGGTTCCTTAGTTCTAAAGATCCCATCTAGAATCATAATGTCCTATTCTTAAGGGCGCAATAATATCCGCGTTCACCTATTAGTTATAACAACCCAACCTGTCTCATTAAAAATATCATAGGTATACTTAAGATGCTTATCCATCAACTTCTTGTTGAGAGTAGGTAAAGACCAGGAGCCAAGTCTAAAGTAACGAAGTACCTAACGTCGAGAAGAAACCTACCAAAATGCCTTATATATAAAATAATACAAAACAGATGTTCAGACACCTAGTCAATATTTCAACTGATTAGAAACATGAAAAACGACGACATTATTCTTAATACAGCCACTCTATTCGGCCACAACTGTCCTATAACATTGTATGGGATAAGTATATATTCTCTAGACTTTTCCTTCCAAAATCACTTTCTTTCTTTTTAATCATCAAGCATTCAAAGCTAATTTGACTTTCATATTCCAAAGAATTACCAATAATTTCTACGCCACTTAAAATTTATTTGATAAGCTATCGACGACAGATCCCGCAAGCAATCACAATGAGCACCTTCAAGGAAATTGACGGGTCACGGCCGTATTGTCTGCAGCACAATCTCCTGACTTGCAAGGTATGTTTACATAGTGTCAAAACGACCAAAGATGGTAGAATGCCAAAGAATACAGCTGAGTTTTCCTGCGATGAGTCGGCTCATAGCGTCAAGCCACGATTTGAACTGGCTCGTAAAGGTCTTTCTGACTTAGGATATCCAGACGGCTTAAGTCCAGAGGAACGGAGCAAATCAGCCTACCCTGAAATACTAAAATCTATCAATGACGGCCGCCCATATTATGACTGTGCAGCATGTGGCCTTACCTGGCTCGCAGGCGGTGGACCTGAGTATTTCGCTGCGCATCCTTCCCATGTTGGCTCAGACGGACAACGATATTTGATAGCCGTAGTACGTCCAACAAAATTCATGCGTGTTTTAGAGCAAATTGAATGCCATGCATACTTCAATTTCGGACATGCCTCCCCGATGAACGTCAGTTATAAGTGTGTAGCAAAGTCCGATCTTGGAACTGCAGATTGGAATCTTGATAATGCCGAGCTGGCTGCTCTAACCCGGATGCTACATCATGTGGCAGATAAGGTGTTTCCCTACAGGAAAAAGCTAGTCCACGATTATATTTATACGAACAGCGCCCACTTCGCCGGCCAAGCCCAGCGATTTCAGTTACTGGTGGTTACCTCCCTCAACCAAGATCTCCTCCGGTTTTTAGGTAAGGTCCAGGACTTGAAATACAATGCTAAGAAAAAGGCCTACGTCGAGAAGAATATGCTTGGTATAACGGTAAAAAAGTATCGTGTCACAGAAGAACGGCGATTTCAGATATCCAATTTCTTCCGGATAATAAAAAATCTGGCTGCGGATGGTATACAAGTTCATTGGTGGCCCGCAAAGGTAGAGGCATCTGCGTGCGCGAGGAAAGCCTTCATGGACCAGCCATCTACACTCCCACCACCACCGCTGAATGAGTCCCAAATCAAACCCCCATTTGCTTCGGAAGCAGTTGATTCGGGTGACGAAATGACAGATGACGAATTGGTAGATGCTGATTCCTTTGAGGAGACACGCGACCAGGAAGAATACCAGGACGTTGAATGTGTGCTGGACCCTGAAGAAGATGCTGAGATCCAGAAAGCTATCTGGGCTAGTTTATCTAACTATTAACTAGCATATGTATTAGTATAGTTATTTACCTCAGACTATAATGTAGTCGCTGATTCTAAATAAATAAAATTAAAAAAAAAAAAAAAGGTAGCCAAAACATCCCTATGCCCATGTGATTTATTCCAAAGCAGTTTTATATTGGACTCTTAACACCGTACTATCACTAAGCCATTGTGATTTAAACGTGTATAGTCTTTAAAGCCTCGTAATTGTTATACCCAGTTAGTAAACAACTCCTTTAAAGTCGCTCCTATAGAAGAAAGGCTCAAGTTTACCTACTCCTATAGTTTTTTAAGTCCCGCCAAGCATTAAAGAAGCTGTTTAGAACCCTTTCTAACGCTTCTAGGCTCCAGGAGCGCATCGAAGTGACGTACGACATACGGCATATAGCATAACAGGGTTCACAGGAGATGCACTCCGCATTCCAAGAAGCCGAAAGTGGAACCAAGATCGTATGCACTCCTCCTCAACCTCCACCGTAACCGTACCGTAGCTTAACCCCGCAGTCCCTCTCCTCGCTCTTTAACGAATTGCTAGGAACTATCTCCCCCGATATCCACACCCATTTATACCGAGGGTCTTAGCCCGGCAGCTTAAGAGAGAATCTCATGCCCCCTTTGGCAATCTACTCGTGCATATCTTAATTAATTATCTCTATTAATACCAACACCAAGTAAAGTAATCCCGTCCAAACATAACCATGCCGCCGATCCCCAAGAATATCATCGTCACCGGCGCCGGCGGTTTCATCGGCCCTCTGCTCGCGGCCCGTCTGCTCAACGACCCGGGGTACCGCGTGTTCCTGACAGACCTAGTCGAGCCGGTTATTCCCCCGGGGGTCAAATACCCGCAGAACGCGACGGCGCTCCAAGGCGACATCTGCGACCCGGCGTTCGTGGCGTCCCTGCTGGATGCCGCCGCCCCGCTCTCCGCCATATTCGTCTTCCACGGCATCATGTCGGCCGGGTCGGAAGCTGACTGGGACCTCTCGGTGCGCGTTAATGTAAACAGCGTAAGGGACTTGTTACTAGCGCTGCGGACGAAGTACCCCGGGGTTCGCGTGATTTACTCCAGCTCCCAGGCCGTGTACGGGCAGCCGCTGCCGGACGGGCCTATCTCGGATAGTGTCACGCCGACGCCTGAGGGCACGTATGGCGCGCACAAGTTGATGACGGAAGTGTTCATCAACGACATGCATCGGCGGGGCTTTATCGACGCCTTCAGCCTACGGTTTCCGACGGTCTCGGTGCGGCCGGGCCGGCCTACTAACGCCGCATCGTCGTTCCTATCGGGCATGATCCGGGAGCCGATGAAGGGCGAGGAGAGCGTCATTCCGCTGAAAGACCGATCGTTCAAATCGTTTCTCACTTCCCCGGGAATCCTGCAGGAAAATCTTATTAGAGTGTTGAACATGGACAGCTCGAAGCTACCGAAGCACATCCGCCATATTAATATCCCCGGCATCTCGGTCTCGATACAGGAACTGATGGATGCGCTTGCCAAGTACGGAGGGGAGGATAAGTTGAAGTATCTCAGAGAGGAGACTAATCCGGACCTCGAAAGGATATTGCGAAGCTGGGCACCGGAGCTTGACACAACTACGCCGCTGAAGCTTGGGTTGGCTAGGGACGAGAGCGCAGAAACACTTGTCAAGCAGTATATCGATTCTCTAAAGTCGTAATACTCGTCTGTAATTTCAGATACCACGAATTTTGATCGATATGTTATTCTTATTGGGTTTAAAATGATGTTAAATCGAAACGTTTTACGCTAGGATTAAACATCTCCAATGTATCCGCCCCCTGAAGCTCCGAGAGTAGCATAATATAGATCCTCCTCCGCAAGAATGACCATTCGCCCATCACCGGCAAAGTTGAAGTTCGCGGACGTCTTGCCGAGGAAGATCTTTCCGATGAGCTTTCCTGATGGGTTCCACACCTGCACGCCATCGCCGCAACCAGAGTAGACATTGCCATTACTATCGCAGTGAATGCCTACACGATTGAGTGTGCTTTATTAGTCTTGGGATATCTTAGGGGGATAAGGTTTTCATAACGTACCGTCTGGAACGCCGGTGTCGACGTATGCAAACAGCTTACGATTGTCCCAAGTCCCATCTTCCTGGACATCAAAACGATAACTGCGGACGTATTAGCTGCTATTCAACTCGTTTTTATCAGTCATGATTGCGTACATGCTGGCAGGTTCGCTAAAATTCCAACCCAATACAACCTTATTGGCCCCAGTATCAGTGACGTACGCATGTGAGCCGTTGGGAGAGAATGTTAATCCTAGGGAGTAGATACACACATTAGAATATGAATGCTCAATATACATGATAACCTCATAATATATCTTACCGTTGTTAACACCGAACCCGTCTGCGACTGCCGCGACTGCACCAGTCTCGGGGTTATATCTATATATTTGGGTGCGGAGTCCCGGTGCAGGTCGGAAATCCTGTAGATATCCGTAGAGACTATCGCTGAAGTAAACTTCCTTATTGCGAGGGTTGACCGCAACATCATTTAAGGAATTGAACTGGCGTCCGAAGTAATTATTGAGTAGTACTTGTTGCAAAAGATTAGCTGGTTCTCTTCCACCGATTACAGTCTCCTGTGCTTACTAGTTGTATTATACGGCTCCCTCGGATTCATTACGACCAGTTGCGACGTAACATCATCTCCTTGGCCCTCTGCTGCAAATACGATCTGGCCCTTATAATTTGTTCCACCTAAAACAGGCTGGTAAGCTGAAAAAGTACCTAGCCTGGGGTTGAGACTAATTGATATTACCATTCGAGTTGATGATGGCGGGTGCGTCAACAGTCTGGACGTTAACAGATCCTGTTGCGTTACGAATATTCGATACGGCCGCGGCTTCTGAAAGCGCGATTTTAAGGATTATATTAGACTTGTTTAGGCCTGTGCCCGCGGCTGCAGCTCCAGCATTTTGCACAAAGAACATCTCATCCGTAGGCGGATACCTAGGGCCGAATGTGTTAGATTTGTCCATGTAAACTTATATGTCCCCTACAAACATACCAAACGGGGGCCTCGTGAAACATAGGATTTGTTCCCGCGTTAGCGATGAGTGTTAACGTAGGATTAGGCCCAATTATATCGTAGAACTCATCGTCATAAATATGGAAAGGCTTTTCCTTCAATGACTCTAAATCATGTCCTGGCGGTACGAAGAAAAACTGGGTTAAATTAGCTTCTCAGGCTCCCAAGCGATGTACGAAGATGTGGTAGAGTTTACCGTGGTAGCATTAGCTACTGAAGGGGGCGAAACGGTTGGTAGAACATTGAATGATTTCCAGTCAATAACCTGAGCCTGTCCTGGGACCTCCCGTTTCAGTAGTCGTTCGTAGTCGAATTCCGAAGAGCTGCTATGGGCTTGAACGAAAATTCCTGCTGCTAGAAGAACTACCGCCGCTGAGAGAGAGGTCATCCTGTGAAAACTCACACCGTATGCTGCTTCGGTATTTCTATGTTCAGGGTCTTGGGAGGTTTTTGTCGGCATGGGACCTGTCATTTTGTACGCCCCTAATCCCGCCGAATGTTTACGTGCAGTTCCTTGGACGGTAAGGGTCTAACCAATGCCTTGGCTAACGATATGCCTATTATACCGATTAAGTCTTTGAAATAGCAAGGTTCGCCCGGGAAAGGTTTAGAACCAGATGAATCGGGACCCCGGTTCCGGTAGTTCAGTAGTTCAAGATACAATTGCGGAGATACGATGCGGAGATATGATGCGGGGGATCGGCGCGGGGAAGCGGGGAGAGCAACTGATTAGCCCGCTTGTAGCTTGTATAGAACCGAAGCTGTTATAAATTTGGTATAAGACTAACATGCTATCTATATCTTTTAACATAATCGACATACTTCAAGGGAATGTATCTAATTTTGTTTAAAACCCGCTAGCATATATTAATAAGTGAAGTCTCTTCTATATAAAACTCACTGACTTCATTACAAGTCCTGGTAAATAAAGGTTATTAATAAGCTATACCTCGGTATAAATCATGGTGGTTAGAGATATAAGTCTTCTCCGGCATCGTTTGTGTAGTGAATTCTAGCCCTTGATGTCCTTCTCCAATTTCTATTATCTCACTTTTGTGAAGCGAGCGGTGCTACAATGCCAAGCGCAACCTCGATGCAGCTATCTCTCTCTGCCGAAAGACATATCCACGAGGTAAATCAGACACCTTTCCCATCGTCTAAATCCCGTGCTACCTCAACTATAACCCGCATTCCTACAGCGTCGAAAAAGACACCCTGGTCTATGTTTATAGGTTAGACGGTCTTGATGAATACATACTCACACAAAGTTATCCCTACATTCACACGTCATATAAGTACTCTTTATTTATATCGTAACTATTGTATCTAAGTATAGATGTCTTCACACAGCTAATGCGCACTAGTAAAAGTGTTAGGGGGTTATATGGGTGAGATTGTAATACGTTGAGTCAATGATGGTTACTCTAAATTTAATCCTGTAGTTCTTAATTTGAGTCACTCTTATGTCTTATATTACAAACAATGTCATAGATTTGCCACTAATATAAAACAGAAAAGCCAGCAAGTTTCAAACACAAACCCACAGTTCATGTACACATAACGTTATCAGCAACTTAAAACATATCCCTTGTTTACAAATTCAAGTATAACGTCTTTGATTCCCTCACAACTCAGTTGTGCGAGTTCAAACTATGGGGCTGGCAATGATATATACAGCCAAGATTCCCAAGTTCATTCATTATAGGTACTTCACCATCAAGCTCTTTATCCCAATAAGAAAAGTAAGCTACACTACAGTGACTGAAACATTAATATTCAATATGTCCGACCAACAATCCAGTTTACCCGCCCGTAACCAGGGACCTATAGTTCGCAATCCTGCCACAGGATGTACCGCCCAACTAGGCACTGAACTGATACCTACTGGCTTTGAGCATACAGAGTGGTGCGGATGTTTGATACCTAGAACAGATGAACAATGGAAGTCCCTATCCGATAGTGTCAAACGTGCTATCGAGGAAAAAATAGTGGATCAAGATAAAGCTAGTATAGCCTTCGCCGAGCTTCTCTTGGGCGTGGGGCTTCTCTCGGATCTGGGGGCTTCTCTTGGGCATGAGGGTCGCTAGAATACCGATTGAAGTTACCTTTTCTTCGGGAAAGTAATGAAAGTGGTTTGATACCCCATGGTACTACCAGCGAAATGATTATTTAGTAGATACCTGTTTTAGCATAATACTCTCGGGAACCTCCATGGCTGTAAGCTCAATGGGGATGGTACCGGGGGCATAAAAAATAAACATCTAAGCAATATAAAAACAGAAAATATACCTAAGTAAGTGTTATTAAAGATTAGAGTGATTAAAATCTCCAAGTGTAGGTACTTGAATTCCCCCCTAATACTCCGAACATATTTTGCCTTTATAATCAACTTTGCAGTTGGGAAGGTTATAACATACCGTAAGACAAGCAGTGGGATAATAGGGGTTGGGGAGGAGATGCATATTTACGTTCAGATATTGTAGGTATCCTTTAACTGATAGGATCTCGTACCTAGTAAAAGTGCAATTCTATTCGATTGCTTACCGTATGCCGAATGATTCATGTCACAGCAATTCGTCGCTCTAAAACCTGTTTCGGCCATCTCACCCATACAATTAATCCGACCCGACAGCTTCCTAGTCTAGCAAGTTAAAGCTGTGAAACTAACGATATCGAAGCTATTAACTACCCACTTAAAAGCAATTTTGATGAAACGCCTTACCAGGCTCTTGATTGAACAAGCTAGGTAAATTGGGATGTTTACGGACCGAAGAACAGAGAGCATGATGGCTATCTCTAAGACATGATTCGACGGCCGCTAGTGCGAAGACTGATCGCCTTTGGCCTGAATAAGAAGGTCTTGGCCCGGGGAGTTGCAATGTAACGCTGATCAGTGGAGAAGAGCGCGCATGATAACGAGCGCGTCTTCCCCCTGACCTAAGCGCCGGACGGCGATGAAAAGCTTAAAAAGGAGGCAATGGCCGCCTAGCATTGACCGGAAATGGAGGCATCATAGGTCACGACAATATGTTATCTACTCGCATGTTCATTGCCGGATCCTTGACTGTGCTGTGCCTAGCTCAGCCAGTCTTCGGCGGTACTCTCAAGCAATGTACCGGTACCCTGGAGTTATCGTGCCATAACGACACCAAAGTCGCCGATACCTGTTGCTTCAACTATCCAGGAGGATCGCTATTGCAGACTCAATTCTGGGATACGGACCCTGCAGTTGGACCTGACGATTCCTGGACTATTCACGGTCTCTGGCCCGACCACTGCGATGGCACATACGACGCCACATGCGACAGCAAGCGTGCCTATACAAACATATCGGATATCTTAACGTCAGCTGGTAATAGCGATCTCCTTAGTTACATGGAGACGTACTGGCTGCCGAACGATGGCACAGGGGAGACATTCTGGGAACACGAGTGGGGAAAACACGGCACGTGTGTCTCGACACTTGACCCGAGCTGCTTCACCGACTACAAAGCTACCGAAGAAGTCCCTTACTACTTCAATACGACGGTTAGCCTATTCAAGTCCCTACCGACGTATCAGTGGCTCGCAGATGCCGGTATCACGCCGAGCTCAAGCACGACCTACAAGCTCTCTGATATCCAGGCCGCGCTATCCAAAAACCATAATGGCGAAACCGTCTACATTGGTTGTAGCGGGAGCGCCATCGAACAAGTTTATTACTACTTTAACGTGAAGGGCTCAGTTGCCAATGGCGAGTTCGTACCGGCGAGTCCGGACAACGACGACGATGGCGGCTGTCCCAGCACGGGCGTCAAGTATCTCCCCAAGAGCGGGGGCAACGGGGGTGGTGGATCAACAACTACGACTACTTCCAAGCCAACGAGCACAACATCGGGTGGATCTTCGCCAACGCCAACTGGGTCATTCTCAGGGAAGGGTTATCTAAACGCAGTAGTCGACGGCTCTGTAAAAGGCTGTATTATCGGGAGTGGCACCTGGTACACGACAGGAACCTGTGCGACATTCACGGCGGCTTCGTCCGGAAGCGGATTTACGCTCAAGTCCAGCAAGGGCTACTGCTCCGCGTCAGGTGGCTCGCTGACTTGCGCCTCTGGCATCAGCAGCGCTGACGCTGACGTCTTCGCTGCAGACGGAACGAATCTGGCGAATTCCGGCGGCGATGACTGGTATGCCGATTCGGTTCCCAGCGGCTCTACCCAGGGTACTGTGTATTCTGAGAAGGGGTCGCATACGACGACGTTGCAGATACAATGGCAAAGCGTCTGATAAGTACATACTAGAAGTATGTAGCGTCATATAGATGTGAAGTATATTTTGTATAAATGAAACTCGCCGTTCTCTGTGCACTATTGTTCGAATACTAAAGTCAAGATATGTTAATAGGAGTCAGCTATAGCAGTAGAATATCAGGTCATCGAAGCACGAGTATTATAAAGGCAATACTGGTTGACTTAATACCGAGAGAACTGAAGGCCAATATTTGGTACGTCTTTCATCTATTGGCATCGCTGTCTCTAAAGACCACTGTGTAGAGTTTAAAATTACACGAACAGCCCCGAATCAGAGCCGAGTGACTCCTTTGGGAGTTTGAAACCACCAGGAGTGCCTCTCTGAAATAAACCCTCTGGGTCGTATTTCTTACTGGTCTCCCTAAGCATCGATACACTCTCTTGCCCATATCCCGCAAAGACGTCGTCCTCCTTGTAGGCGTAATTCGCAAAGATATAGGGGTGCAATAATGATGAACTATAATCATTAATCGCCCACTGCCTATACAAAGCCATGAGATTTTCTATTCCCTTGAATATGCGATCGTCATCTTCTGGTAGCGACCAGGCTGGGTTAATCAATACTATGATCAGCGGTCCATCCGAAGGCGGGATAGCCATAGCATTTCCACCTGCCTTCGCCGAATTCTCCAACATAGACTTAGTCACAAAGTGGAATTCGAGAGCAAAGGTGAAACCCTCGGCATCTTTTAGTTTCTCAAGTGTCCTGTCCCATTCGTCGTAGATGTCCTCCAGTATTCCAGTCTCACCCTTGTGCGCGAGAGTTATTGAAGCCCAAAATTGCCTATCGAAAGTTTAGCAAAGGTTAAGACGAGGTCACATTTTATAGGGAGTCTAACCGCAATCCATCATTTGAAAAGTTTGACAATTCCTCACAGAAGTCCAGTTGCGTTGACGTCCGCATAGTGCACATTTCGTCAATCCAACGATACCGAAGACCTAAAGTGCTCTCTACACCTGTAAAATCTCGTAGTTGAGGTGGGTTTTCTTCGCCTCGGGTGTGATACACGACAGACGTCATAGCTTTCTGTCCAAAGCCGTAACTAATTCTATATATGAGATGAGTGTCTTTGTCATGATCACCGTAGTAGCCGCCCTCCTGAGGAAAGCAGCAAACGCAGTCGATAAGCCCGAAAAGTTCTTCGAACACATCGGGATGGTAGCATATTAGCCCACCCCATATAGGCCCTGACTTGAAAGTCTTCATCTTGAAAGAGGTAACAATTCCAAAGTTATTCATACCGCCCCTCAAGCTACGCCAGAGATCGGCGTTTTCTTCCGCGTTTGCGCGGACAACCTCGCCAGACGCGAGGACCACTTGGAACTCAACGACGGAGTCGCATGCGAACCCTTTCTGCGATGAGAATATAGACAATCCCCCTATTATCAAGTTAGTAAGATGGTGATCTACCGGATATTGTGACTCAGTAATACCTCCTAAGAGGAAGCCGGCAACACCGATATGGCCAACACGAGCACCAGCTACTGTCAAGCCATACTTCTCCAACTCAGCGTAGACAGGAGTCCAAATCTCCCCGGCAGCAATCTCCACTACTGACTGGTCGTCACTTAACTTGATGCCTTTAAGGCCTCGCATGTCAATCGTGACGCCACCCTGGACGTTTGCACTGCCAGGAATCGGATTATGGCCACCGCTTCGGATCGCTAATTCGCAGTCTCCCGAGAGAACGTACGGACGGAGAGCCCGGACTAGACCCTGTACCTGCTCGACGTTATTTGGCTTGGCGATAAATGAGGGCTTAACTTCGTTCTCGAACGCACTGAAGTATGAGCTATTGTCTTTCTCATATTCGGTGCTGCCAGGCTGTAAGACCGCGTCTCCAAGAACGCTGGTCAACGCGGTCAAAATCTGGGGTTTCTTCGAGCTAGTCATGATGGCAACTCAGAGGAAAAAGGCGTAACTAGAACGAACTTCGAAAGACTTGGACACCAATTGTATCGGAACTGGTGGTTAAGGGGTTAGGACAACGATGGAGTAGAATGAGCTACGCTTTGGTATTTCCAGGATAGTCATTCATCTATGAAGAAAGTAATATTCTTATGATCAAGCTTTCGCCTTTTATAATGTCCTCTATATGATTGTTTTATGCAATAATGTTTGTGGCTCGGGCACTCGCTTTGTTGTGCTATATCCTTACTTCATCCCTCTAGTCAGTAAGCCGAAAAGATTGCCATCAACATCTTCCCAGGATAGCAACAAATTCGTAGCCCGTCAAAAGCACAAGCGGATTCTATTTGAAAGCAATCTACTAGTTCTTTTTTACCAGTGTTTGATACGAAAATTGCACTTCCATGGCGTTAGAGTCCCACGGTCACAACTGAAAAGTCTTTGACATCAAACGGCACGAGTTCAAACCATAGAGTTTCCTCCATGATTTCCTTAGACCGCTTGGATGCAGCAAACGTACCTAAGGTACCTACTGTCGTCTAAGATACAAGCTACCTAAACCATCGTGGTGATAGAACACCTGTGTAGAAGTAAGCTAGAACATCTCCCACCGTCAAAACTGGAATCATTGGGGTATAGACGGAATCCTCTCCCATGAGCAATGCTTGCATCGATCGTGTCTACATCCATTCGTAGTGCACATGATCTCCTGAGGCGCAAACGAGTGCTTGCACCTGCAACTATAAATTACGTTAGCTGACCGCAAATGCGTAGAATAGGTCAGGGCGAGTAGGGCTACGGCATAGTGTCTCGGAAAAGTCCTCTCCTCCTTGCCGCTTACGCCAGAGTAGCTCCCTACTAGCTCAACCACATGGCAGCGAAAATAGCAAGATGATAGAGAGATGCTTACCATTTCCAAAGGTGAGTTGCATAGAGAGGCGGGTCCTGTCTATTAGGCGGATCCGGGGTCGGCGGCCTTGGTGGAGGTTTGGGAGGGTTGATTTCGTGTTTCCCGCTATTACCTAGGGAATCGCCCGCCATTGAGGAGGATAAACTATCGATGGTATGAAAACGAGGATAGCTGTGGATGAAACTATGCAGACCAGAGTTCGTATATCGAGAAAGATCACAAAATATCGTGCTGGTTCTGTTGGGTTGATGATTAAAAGTCCATGCAAAGTTAAGGGGGTATATTCGAGTTTAAATAGATCTTGGACTAAGGTGATGACCAGTAACTATCTACAATGGTTGACGCATCGTTACGCAGATATCTTGCTGAATTCCTTGGGGCGCTGACTTAGGTACTACGAGTAAGAGTCCCATCTGTATAGTGCTAATCTCTGTACGTCACCAACTCACCTAGGATTCATCAATACTCCCGTAATGAGTAGTTCTTTCGTCTCAACTCCTGGATTAGGTATACAAATCATATCACGATACCTTTCTAGCCGCGCCCCCCCTACAGGATATCTAATCTTAACGTATCTGGAGAAATAATATCTCGATACCTATTAGAAGACAAGACGAGCGAGATATTAAGGTCAACCCCTAGAAAATAAGGGGAAGGACGTTCGTTTATAGACACTCGGGTAGTATTCCAAAGATTCAATTATAATATACCACTCTACCGCGACTAAATAGTCAAGGATAGAGCAATATTCGAAGATAGGGTATTATTGAGCTTATATGGATAAATGAAGACAACCTTGAAGACCAGAGGAATAATTTCAGCCTATGAAGGACCTCTGGTTGACGCCCTCCCCTAGTTTCACCTATGGTGGCTCTATCTATGAATGCTTCCTTTAACACCGTATGATAAAGGGACGTTACTTCGACTAAAATTATGCGCTCAATGCAAGACAAGCATCCACTGCAAGACCAACCCTATAGGACCCACGTATTAGCAAGTTAAAACATCTGGACGATGTGGTGAGCAAACTAACCTTCCCTCTTTCTGATAGACAACATCGCTAATGATGTCTCGGTCCAGGTCCGGAAACATACTAGCTAGAGTCTCTACAACATTGTTATGCTCCGCTCGGTGGATCCTTTGAGCTTCGGCAACCTCAGCACTGGCCTGCCTTGCTGCGGCTTCTTCAGCTGACAATCGCTGGCGCGTGTCCATCGAAGGGGGTTGCCCTTCAACGCTGGGCCGAGGACTAAGTCGTGACGCAGTATCTGGTTGAGACATACGGGTAGACGAACTAGGACCAGCATCGCTTGGATCCTCTGAAAACATACGACCAATAGACGATAAGGGCCTTTGAATTGAACGAAGTAAACCGGATATTGCTGGGCTGTCTTCACCGGAGTCATCATCGTTGGATGATGAAGATCGACGTGGTGTAGCTGACCCATCCATATCGAGCGATGGGCGCGTCGAAGAGGTGCCTGGGGGATATAGTCCAGTCTTTTCGGACTGTTGCGGCTGTGCTGCGGGGGGTGGTTCCTCCGCTCTATGTTTCTCTGCAATAGCAGAGACGGCTGCTTCTACGTTCTTGTCAAATTCCTCATCGGATATCGTTAAAGAAGTACGGTCCATGCTCTCGATGAACTGTATAGCACCCATCTAGTTTGCTAGGTAAGCAGACAAAATTATTAAGCAGAGATTATTTCGAGGCTCACCAAAGATGAAAGATAGTATCCAGCTTCCCCGCCGAGTTTTTCCTGATTCCGGAATCGCAAGATATAATGGACATTAGAGACCAGGTGGTCGGGATTAGACCGCAAGACGACGTATATCAAAAGCGGCATGAGGGAGTCAGCGGAAGAGTCGGATTTAGTATGCTTAAGAAGGCCTAAACTCCTAATTAGTTAATGCTATGACATGTTGACGTGTCGATCTCTATACCAAATATGACTTTGCAGCAGTTAAGAACGCAAATGATCTTGTCTCGAGGTGCCCTGTAGGATTTGATTTTTAGAAGTTCTAGGATTATTAGTAATTCATCGTCGGTTATAAGAGCGTGGAAAACGTACCCTGCTGAGCTAGAATGAGAAATCTTTTGCCACTATCGCTGGCAGGGGGAATATCTAAGTGCTCTTCTCGGACCCAGCTGTATATATTGATCTTCTGCGCTAGTACTTCGTCCCTCTCTACGTCCTCTTGGTGCTGCCCGCGTCGCCCTGGCCCTAGCGGCAGGTCACCTCCTCGGCGCTTCGGTTTTGCGCCTGGGATAGGTTGGGGCGGAGGTATTGCGGGTGAAAAGGTCTGAGTGTAGAGCCTATTCATGACAAGCTTCTCCATTCCTTCTCGGGCGTTGTCGAATTCTGCGTCCGACACTTCGCTCCATACCTCACATTGGGCCATTTTGTTGGCTATGAAGGTAAGAAAATCGCTAATAATCTTAACTTGCTCGTGAACCATCCACTGACGTTTTGCAAACTCGGACAAGAAAGACTTGAGATACCTTGCAACGGGATCGGCCTTTTTATGTTTGAGCTGTTCTAAAAATCGGTGGAAGTCAAACGGTAGAGCTGGTTCTGGCTCCGGATCTGGAGGTGGGGGTCTATGTAGGGGCGCCACAGACGAAGTCTCATCTGACGACCCGTCCTTGGGCGGAACCGGCGGACCGTAGTCATCAGGCTCCTTTAGCTTATCCCTTGACCGTGCACTTATCGGCGAGGTATCGGAGATCTTTAGACCTTGTACGTCCTGTAGCTGCTGAGCAATACTCGGCGCAAGGGGCTCAAGGCTAGACTTCCTCGGCGGATGCTGTACCGGGGGGCTACCTAAAAGAGGCGAAGCAATCTCAAGCCGCGGGCTCATCACTTCGTCTGCTCCTGGACCACCGCCATCCTCGGGAAACTGTTCCATGATACTCTGAATTTCCGAACGAGATGTGCCTTCTTGCTCATCCTCGCTTGGATAACGCCTCTCGTCATATCCGGCATCGGATCGGGTTGGGGAGGGCTCTAGACCATGCCCCTTGGGTCGGTGGGAGGAGTTAGCTCTGGATGGCGGCTGGGACCCTTCGGGGGTGGGAGGCGTCGGATCGACGTATGGGGCAGTTGTGATAGTTAAGTATTGTGGCTTCTTGGGTTTGAGAGTCGCGACTGAGGATTCCATAGGGTCAACTGGAGCGTCGGGTATAGATTCTTGACCAGTCTTATCCACCGATACATCTTCGACCTTAGTATCTTCCTCGTGGGTAGTGTGATCAACTTGGGGCTTATCCTCGGCAGGTTCTATTAAGACGGCTTGGTTGTCTAGGGTTTTGGGTTCCTGTATGCTTTCCTTGGTCTTGCCATCTTTAGATTTGCTTGGAGCCTCAACCTGTCCTGACTCCGACGGAGTGGTCGTGACGGTCGGTAAAGTATCTGGCGGATCGGCGGGCTTTTGATCCCTCATGGCGGGGTCATGGTCGATAGTGATGGCAACCTCTAGTCTAACAAGAGGGCTTGCAGACTCTGATAGGGGCTGTTCAGGAGGAGGCATGCATGAAAGCTCGAGTTGCTTAAGCGGTGGTTTAGGATGTAGAGATGCTTTTAGTTGTGAGGTGGAGATAAGAAATGTTACAGCGACTTTATGTAGTTAGATAGGCGGCAGGTACAGCAGGTAATAATACCTAAGGTATGTGCATGTGCTGGGATGGTTTATCGTTATCGCTTTCCAGGTAGAAACGCGTGAAACTGTGAACGATGCAGACTTGCACAAGGTTGCTCTAATTATGTACCTAATTAATGCCGACTGACGCCAAGTTCCGAGGATTAGAGTTGGATACCGCCACAGGTTATTTGGACGCTAACGGACGCCAAAGCTAAGCCACTAAGGTACCTTCCGACTCAAGGTGCATATCTCATCTGTACCGTTAAAAGAGTTTAAACAGAAGTTGCTTAATGAATTCGATCTTTATTTAAGTAAACACAACATATACATTTACAAAGCGGCTACGAAGATCTCTTATAGCAAGTAGTTTATTAGTTATGAGATAAATATAGTAACGGGTAACCATATCGTATGTATACTTATCTGTAAGTCAAGTGCCTCTTTCGTATACATAAAATCTTCAAGTTGAGAAAGCGGAGATATCGCCAAGTTATAAAGCCTTGGCGTACGTAGTAAGATACCTCCTACTTGACCTATATATGTACCTCTCAACTGGACTGAAATTCAAGATTGTAATAATAAGGTTCATATTAGATTTTATAAGTGCCTACGAAAGAAGATAAGTGAGGCATTTATCCGAATGAAGTAATGGCTTCTTATAGTATACTGAGACATCTACTAGGATGCAAGTATGTTGAAGTCTTTAAGCTAAATCAAGTCTTACACGTGTATGTATGTAGTAACGCAGGCCTAAAGTATAATATATCGTCGAGGCAGTTTTTATCTAAAGGTGATGGTGCTCTTGGACGTTTTCATGGTAAGGTTGGCCAAACGTCATCCCAAGGTACCTATGCACCTTATGCACCTTATGTACCGGGCTGACCGGGGTAGGAAGATATCCACTCTGTTGAGACGACTGGACGATGACAAATGATACCTAAGATCGACGCCAAGCCAACCGTAGCGGGAGTCTCGGCCGCTAACTCAGATTCGTCCGACATTACCTATGGTATTATGGCATTAGCATTGTAAACAGGGAAGATACAATAGGTAGTCCGCCATGTACAAAGAATAATCATAAATCCTGTCTCGTTACTCTCGGAGGAATATTTGGCTTCAGAAGGCACTTTGAAGCCATACTTAGCTTAGAGAGCCAGTTTATTGCGGCCTTCCATTCGTTCCGAATCCTCTATACAATTGCTACACACTCGCTTTTTTATCATATGGCTCGAAACATTACATCCTCTGCCGTCGCTGACACAGGCTCTCCGTGAGAAGATTTCCGTCGATGCTCTCGAAACGGCTTGCAATGTGCTTACATTCGTTCAAAACTGCGCATAATGCCTCGAACGTCCATAAATGTAGATTTTGACGTAAAAAGGAAGCAAGACGTAGACACGATCCCGAAAGTGGCTCGGCAGACTCGGATGAGATTAGAAGCAATTGGAGAAACCGTACAAGAATGCGCCGCGCAATGGTACAAGAAATATTTGCTAGAAATAGTATTACGACAGAAGCCTTTAAACCCTTCAAAAGACGGGCGACACGTCCCGCTACAAGTCGAACTCGAACAAGTTTTAATCGATGAGCGACGCGGTCAACCGTACATATCGAATGCGATCCGAACTTCGAGATATACCTTAATCGATTTCATACCGAAACAGTTAATATTTCAGTTCACACGGCTAGCGAATTTCTATTTCCTCTGCGTTGGTATTCCTCAAGCGATCCCGGGCCTAAGTACAACAGGAAGTTACACTACAATCCTACCTTTACTATTCTTTGTTCTCCTCACCATCGTTAAAGAGGGCTACGATGATTATAAGCGTCATCGATTAGATAATCTAGAGAATGCGAATTCCACAAGGGTCCTAAGGCGGAAATCTCAAGGCGGAAATGTTGTTTCGCCAGCTCAAAAATGGTTGACAGGTATATTTAAAAGTAAAAGCGCAGATATAAATTATTGGGACGACGAGGACGAGGACGAGAACGATGGGGACTACGGTTGGAGACAAGTTAAGTGGCAGGATGTCAAAGTTGGTGATGTCGTCAAGCTAGTTCGCGATGAAGCTGTGCCAGCCGACCTGGTTCTTTTATACGCCACAGGAGAGAATGGACTAGCTTACATCGATACCATGGACTTGGACGGTGAAACCAATCTTAAGAGTAGGGAATCACTTCCGGATTTCAAAGATTGTCAGAGTATTTCTGGTATTCGCAGCTGTCTGGCTGAGTTTGTCCTCGAGGACCCGAATCCTGATCTATATCGTTTCGATGGGCGCGTTACAGTACGTGGCCGAACGCTACCTTTAACGTCGAATGAAGTCATATATCGAGGTAGTACACTCAGAAATACTACCTGCGCCATTGGGATAGCGATTAACACCGGAGAGGAGTGTAAAATTCGCATGAACGCGAACCAGCATCCTCGTGCCAAGAAGCCGGCACTAGAAGCTATTGCTAACAAGATTGTCATTACTCTCGCCCTCTACGTTATTATACTGACGGTCGGGTGCTCCATGGGCTACATCATCTGGCGGAGGTCTACCGAGCGAGTCTCTTGGTATATCTCCATGGCCACAGTCGAATTCAAGCAGATCATTATCGGTTATGCAATCATGTTCAACAATGTCATCCCCCTTGCGCTCTACGTTACTCTCGAGATAACGAGGATTGGTCAGATGCTTATGTTAAACAACGACGTGGAAATGTATGATGAGGTAACTGATACTCCGGCTCGATGCAATACTAATACTATTTTGGAGAATCTTGGCCAGGTCAGCTACATATTCTCTGACAAGACAGGCACACTCACGGAAAATGTCATGAAGTTTCGCAAAATGAGCATTGCAGGGACCTCGTGGTTACACGAAGCAGATATTCAGTCCGAAGAGGTAACAGGTCTTGGTCCTACCTTTGATGCAGGAGTTGCGATGCCGCGCAAGTCCAGAGAGGTTGCTAGTGTGATTCACGAAGATATCGAGCTCTATCCCCTATCGCCAGCAGCATCAAGTGTCACACCTCGGTCAGAAAGGAGGTCATCGTCGCAGTGGAGGTCAAGTGCTCGCCCAGATCATATGCAACCCGATGTTACAACTTCGGATTTGCTAGAGTATATCAGGTCGAGGCCGACATCGCCTTTTACGAGACGAGCCAAGGATTACATACTATGCATGGCTCTATGCCACACATGCTTACCAGAGGTCAAAGATGGGGTAGTCGATTTTCAAGCTTCGTCTCCGGACGAGCTGGCACTTGTCCGTGCTGCACACGAACTTGGATACTTGGTTGCCCACCGGTCCTCTCAAGCCGTGACCTTACAAATTGACAACGGAGATGGCAGCCAGAAGACAGAGGTTTATCAGATTTTAGATGTCATCGAGTTCAGTAGCAAGCGGAAACGCATGTCGATTATTGTACGCTTTCCCGACGGAAGAATCTGTCTCATCTGTAAGGGTGCCGATTCAATAATCATGCCTAGGCTTAAATTGGCTCATTTGGCGATGCAAAAGGCAACAGAAGTTCGCAAAAGCGTCGAGATGGAACGTGAATTACTTCGAAGGAGCGAGCAGTTAGACGTGAGAAATAGCTTCGGGGGGCGTCCAAGCGTAACTTTACGACGGAACGTCACAGGTAACCGAAATAGCATCACCGTTGCACAGCCCACTACGCCGGTCCAAATCCCGACGATCGTACGGAGTAGGTCCGTTGAAGGATCCAAACCGCGGCACTCCGAAGACAAACTCCGCCCGTCTTTAGGCATACGAACCACGTCCCTCGACGTAACCAAGACGCTATCAAGACTAAGCCCACTAAGCCCATCAACCCCCAAACCGCCACCGGATAAGTTTGGATTCCTTGATGATTCCTCAATATATGATGAATCAATAGTCTTCAGTCGATGCTTTAAACATTTGGATGACTTTGCTTCCGAGGGTCTGCGTACTCTCCTGTTTACGCAGAAATTCATACCCGAAAGTGAGTATGAGACATGGAAAAAGGTTTATAATGAAGCAACGACAAGTTTAGTTGATCGTCAGGAAATGATCGAAACGGCAGGCGAGTTGATCGAACAGTCACTCGACCTTGTGGGAGCGACAGCGATTGAGGATAAACTCCAAGTTGGCGTGCCGGAAACCATCGATAAGCTCCGTCGTGCCAATATCAAGATTTGGATGTTGACAGGGGATAAGCGCGAAACAGCAATTAACATTGCTCATTCGGCACGAATCTGTAGGCCAGGGTCCGATATATTCATCCTTGATTCCTCCAAGGGCTCGCTGGAGACACAGATTAATGATATATCTGAGGAAATTGCAATTGGCTGCACTCATAGCGTAGTCGTTGTTGACGGCCAGACCTTGGCGGCTATCGAGCAGTCGATGCGACTTACGGACCTCTTTTATACTCTTATCCCTTTAATCGACTCCGTCATCTGCTGTCGCGCGTCACCTGCTCAGAAATCTCTGATTGTGAAAGCCATTCGCCAACGACTGCCAAGTGCTTTAACACTCGCTATTGGCGATGGCGCAAATGACTTGGCCATGATTTCTGCCTCTCATGTCGGAGTCGGAATCTCTGGCAAAGAGGGACTACAGGCTGCTCGTGTAGCCGACTATGCCATCGCACAATTTCGCTTTCTTCAGCGCCTACTCCTTGTTCACGGCCGTTGGAACTACGTCCGTACGGCGAAGTTTATCCTCACAACTTTTTGGAAGGAGATGTTCTTCTACCTACCCACAGCGATGTACCAGCGCTTCAATGGATACACCGGAACCAGTCTTTACGAGAACTGGAGCTTAACTGTATTCAACGCGCTGTTTACGAGTCTGTGTGTCTTATGTTTGGGTATTTGGGAGCAGGATCTTAGCGCGGAGACGCTGCTTGCTGTCCCTGAATTATACGTACACGGACAGAAGAATAAGGAGTTAAACATCCCCAGATTCATACGTTGGATGGCTGCCGCGGCTACAGAAGGTGTACTAGTGTGGCTTGGGGTATGGGCCGCCTATAGCGTCTACGGACAGGCCCGCGACGACGCACTTTTTGCTTTAGGCGACTTGGTATTCACGATTGGAGTGCTATGGATTAACTGGAAAATCTTGTAAGTTTATATATGTCTGCGCGCTATGGCATCCTACTAACAAGACTCGTAGTATTCTCGAGACGCATTATAAGTCAGCAGTTATTATGGGTGCTTTTGTTATTACTCTTGCTGGGTGGTGGGCTTGGCAGGGATTCCTCTCGGGGGTCTATGCAGCGCAACCAAGCCCCTATCCAGCCAGGCACGGATTCGAAGACACTTTTGGACGAGACCCCCTTTGGTGGCTGACGCTAATAGTCATCTTGCTCGTACTCATCTCGATAGAGCTGGTTTACAAGACAGTGAAACGCAACATGATCGTCGCAGGTACGTGGCAATGGCCGCCGTGGAAACAAAGGAGCCCCGACGACGGCTTGGAGGAATGGGGTTTGCAAATTTGGCAGGAATTGGAGAAGGACCCGGTTATGCGCGAGCGGCTGCGGAAAGCGTGCATGGAAGAGGGCGAGGTCGAAAACGGGGAACAGGATAGCATTGACCCGGACGACATAATCAAGGTTATTTGAAGGGAAAGCATCTGTCGGCGTTTTATGGACTTACGCATTTATTTATACGCACATATATACCTGGTAACTTATCTGCTAACGGTGGTTTAGATCAGGTTTCTATTGGAATTTCTCAGGGCATCTCAGGGGTTACATAGGTGGTAGATATACCCAGCGCGCTATTTACAGAGATATATAGATAGATCCCTATTTTTATATGTATAATATAATTCATTTTAAATCCCGTATTCGAAGTCTTTATGTGCGATGTGTGTATATTACCTTGTATTTTATTTGGATATAGGGCGTGCAGGAGAAAAAGGGGGAACTTATACTAGCTGCAACCTACCTAATGTACAAATATCCAGGAAAGAGTACCACGGTCTTGGCTGAATCTTATGTTGGGCATTTACTATATTTCGTGAAGTATCATATCGTGTAACTATGAAGAGTGATACACACACTAACTTGGTCAAGAAACAAGACGGTATTCTTCACGTTCATCTTGGACCCCGCCGTCTCATCTCACGTTCAGCGCATCTAGCTACTCGCCTCAACCGTAGTGTTGCTCACATGATACATCTCTATACCCTTTAATCCCTCAAGGTCCTTCAACAACGGAATAACCTTGGCGAACTCGGGGTGATCGCGCGCCTTCATATGCGCCTCGACACTCGTCCACCCCAGGATCAAAATCAACACACTACTCGGCTCGCCATCACGGTCGATATCCCGCTCCACAGACCACCCCAGCGCCGTCTCGCCCGTCATCCCATCCGCAAACAACGTCATCCGCCGCGTAAACTCGTTCACCGCGTCCGTGGAGCGCGTGCGCGCGTCCTCGGGGTAGTCGCCCGGAAACCAGATGTGCAGGACCTCGGCGACGGAGGTCTTGCTGTTGGGGCCGGTGTTGTCGAGGGCGGCGACGGGGAAGGGCGTGAACTCGACGTGGTAGGGGCGCTGGGGCGGCGAGGCGACGGCGGAGGAGACGCGCGCTTTGAAGGGCGCGTATGCTTCCGTCTTTTCGAAGGCGCGGTGCGCGGCGACAGCCTCCCAGTCGGCGAAGATGCGCACTGCGTTGGGGTCCTCGTGCACGCGGGACGTGCGCACGCGCAGACACCCCGGCTGTGCGACTAGGGTGGCGGCGGTCGTGTCGAGGATGGAGACGGCTTCGGCGGCGGGGAGGTCCGGTTTGAGGGTTAGGGAGATGAGTTCCGTGACGGGAGCCATGGCTGCTTTTTATTTTATTTTATTTTTTTGCTTTTGCGTTGTCTTGGTCTACGGGTGGCTTATTCAGATGCTGTAGGGAATGTCTTGGAAAAGCAAATAATGTTTGAGGGGATAGGTAGGTAGATTATGCGGGTGGTTCCCCATAAGTGAGGGTGAAGTGAGGGGTTATATGTACGCGGCCGGAACTCCGGACGATCGCAGATTAAGCCAGATAAGGGGGGCCGCAATGGTGATGGTGGTGGTGCTTGTGGTGGTGGCGTTTCATGTAATAGGCAAATCAAGCTCTCAATGGGGCAATGGTGTCAAGTTAACCCGTATAATTTATTATTTCTATTAGTTAACCATTACATCCTCAAAAGTCAAATAATTACTAATTATTCCGAGGCGTAGTATGAATAGGACGGAGTTTAAGTGGTCATTAAATGTCCTTACACAATTCCAAGCTAACCGGCTCCACGGAGAACTAAATACTTGAATCCATCAACTATTTACATGAATATTAATTAGGTACCTATATAGGTCGGTCAATCTACTTTCTCGGTCTTTCATCACTATCCTCGTACCCTCCACCTCTCAGAGCTCGTCTAACCAATCTAACAAGGGGTTCAAGTAATCGGTAGTCAGCACAGGACCTGGCCCAGCTCCGTTCTCCTTAACCAACGGATAGAAGTCCAAGAAATCCTGCATGAATTCCATATAATACATAAGAACGTACTTCAGTCGGGGTAATACGTGATGCTTCTCGGCGATTAGGAACCGGACGAGTTGGTAATCCCGCGGCCGGAGTGTTAACTCCAGAGTATACCCCGGCGGTGGGTATCCGGGGAAAACGATGCCCCGTTCGTTCATGACTCTGATGGAACGGGGCACGATGTTCTCGAGGAGAAGCATCTTCAGATTCGGGGGGAATCTCGTCGGGATGAGGTCCGGCAATGCGGAATCGTCCATGTATGCGCTGCCGAGGAGATAAATAGGGGGGATCCGAAGGAAATGCAGATTTTTGAACCGAGTCAAATCCATGCCTTGATCCTCAATAGGGAGCTTCCATCGCCAAGTAAAGTCCAGTATCCGTAAGCTCTCCCGAGCTGGGGCTAATAGATTAGGGTAGAGCCTCTCTGAGAACGGCAGTTGGTTGTTATGGCTAATTAAGAGATTCTGTAGTCTGGTCGTTGGGGATAAAAGTCGACTCAACGCTTCGTGGTTATACCAACATAGTTCCATGAATAGCCCCTTTAAATCGGCATGCTGGAAATATTCCACATCCAGCTTACCAAATGCGGAGAAGTCAACATAAGAAAACCGCATACGCCGCAGTTTCCTATGCCGAAACAATACAGCGTCGTCCTCTTCTGGTTTAAAAGCTGCCCAATTCTCCCGCTCAATCGAAAAAGTCACTGTTATATTTTATTAGTACCCCGTTCTTTATATATAGTTAATCACCGGCAAAACTTACAACTCTTCAAATTAGGCTGCTCTTTAACAAGCAGGTTTAAGGCACGCCTCTTCTCGTCCTCGATGATCAGGGGCTCTCCACCGTGCTGCACGATGATGCTTTCGAGATTTGAAAACTTAATACCCATGAGCTGCCGGTACGCAACGGGGTGGAACTCGTCGAGGACGAGAAACCGCACCGCGCCGGCGATATAAGGCCGCCTAAGCAGAAACTCAACCAACCCACCGGTATCGTGATCTGTGCCGGCTTTGGTGAATACTCTACGGTAAAGCCGCGGCTCTACAATCCCCTGTGCTCTTCGACACGTCTGCAAGAGCGAGGCCTGATCACGAACGCCAAGATATCGCAATATCCACCACTGGATCTCCAAGGGGAGACCGAAGAAGTAAGCATGACCGCGTGTTGACGGCATCATAGAACTCTAAAATATGTATCCGTCGTCAGGAGTATATAACTACAAGAATCATCCACCGTGAATAGAACCATCCGTATGTAGTTTAAAAGTAGGACGCCCAGGTTCCCCCCGCAGACCTGAGTAAGTGCACACATCCTATTATGCAGCAAGCGGGGCGAGGACCATAAGCTCCGGGCGGGTCGGTATTTACCTAGCCGGAACCGTGAAGGGGGCACATTGCATATCCTCCTTCGGGATCTACCGAAAATCGCCGTACTAAAAACCACGATCCTACTTTAACATCGGACGATAACGCCTTTTTAAATCCCACGCGTCCAACAGACAGCATGTGATGTAATATTATCAGCCTAGGTATAACAAAAACCCGCCGTAGTCCGGCTACCGCGGACGAAGGGGCAGAAAAGGGATGGGAAAAAAAGGGGGCTCGAGCACTTAGTATACTACCTATGATAATTGCATTCTGCAATGCACGAGCTTCAATGACGTCATGACTGACGGTAGACCGCAGCGGCGCTATAAATAGAGACTATATAGGGTTAGACGGGCCGAGAGGCTTCTACAAAATTCCGGAAGCCGGAGAGTCGTGATAGGTACATAGTAGAATCTATGTATGTACCTATGCAACTAGTAGGAAGCGCAGTTAAAGATGCCATCAAATACGGCACATCGGCTAATCACAACCACTCACAAGGTCGGATTACACGTCCGTCGCTTTAGACGACGATAGTACATACATACAGGTTCGCAAAGCATCGCTTTTGGAATATTTACTACGAAGTACATATGTTGGATACACTGGCTGCTTCGTGTTATTCAAACAGCTGTTTTGCTTGCATAAGGGCGCTCCCTAGCTAGGTTGGGCGGCAGTTCAGACTTCATCCATAGCCCCTAGCTATCGCATTCGGCGGCTGGCTTCGCAGCTCTCGGTTTCTTTTTGCGCTTGCTACTCCCGGTACCGGATCCCGTCGGCGCCTCGCGTATCCACCTCGCGACCGCCTCCGCGCGTTCTGTGAGGATAGGGTACTCCCTTCCGTCATCTACAGCCCAGCGCTTAGGGCCGGCATGCGGACTAGGAATACCGCCGTTGGTGGAGCTTGCGTGATCGGCTTCGGCTCTTCGCTGTCGAGCAAGAATCGCTGCTTTGAAGCTCGCCTCGTCGTTGACACGCTCGTCCTCTAGAGCCTCGATGATAGCTTGTTGCCGCATCCGCTCCTTCCGCTGCTCCTCAGTTTCGGCGGGGGCCGCGCCTCCGGTGATTGATAGGGCGTTGACGCTTGCGGTCGCAGTAGATACCCCGTTTATCGACACGGGGATTGGTAGCGGGGCGGGGGCGCAGAGAGCCTCCCAACTCGATGAGAGTTCGATCCAGTTCTCCGCTCGCCGGAGGACCTCGATCCAATCTGCTCGGGCGGGAGACCTACTTGCCTGGAAAACTGGATAGCCATCGGCAAGACGAGCAAGTCGCGCGACCATGTGCGCATGGCGCTGGAGCTCTTTTGCTGAGGTTTGGATAAGGGTATGGCATAGTAGCAGCGAATGTAGCGCGTCGGTCAGTAAGGGGTGGTAAGTGACCACCTCGGTAGTTGTTTGAATCGATTCCATAGTAGCACTGCCTGGAGATACGAGGTCCGTCGAGGGATACGGCGGCAGATCTGCGGGAGGTGTGGCTGTGAAAAGGGAAGACAGCTCGTATACCGTATGGCTAGGCGAGGTTCCCGTAGGGCTACCTGGGTCCTGAGATGCATGGCGAGATTGTCCGTAGTATCTTTTGCTACGATGAGTCGCCTGATTTACCTGGCGACTAAAATCATCCGACACCTCGATAGGTAGGTTGGGCGAATAGTGAAAATGCTTGAGATACTCCATGTAATCTCGTAGCGCGCGCTTCGCGTAAACACGTACCGCCTTGCGCACTTCTAGCAACTTCTTAGACGGACCTTTGTTCTCCGGATACTCTTCCGCTTGTGGTGGCGTTGAATCGCCATTAGGAATACCATTACTGGCCCCGTTCGTCCCGTTCGTACCATTCTGTGAATTCGCGTTCTGCTCAATACGTGAATCAGGGAGCGCAAGCGCAACGTTATCACACGCTAGAGTGAGGTAACAGCCAGCCCGCTGAAATAATAGCTGTACTTCTATACTACTTGGGTGATCTCTTTCGTCAAGAGGGGGATTATCTCGCCGCCGCCGAGTTTTCTGCTCGAGTTGCATAGACTCGTCTGATGCCGGTTTGTGCCGCGGTTGTTGAAGACGGTACACTCCCAGCGCAGAGGTAAGATCACGAACAGCACCTTCGAAATCATCCTTGAACATTCGGACGATGGCACGAGTCCTCAGGGGCTCGCAATCAGAGGGCCGTTGTCCTATTATAAGATCCAATGCGCGAAAGTCTGTGCACTCAGCCAGTTGCCTCGACGGGATCTTCTCATGGAAGAAATGGACATAGTTAGCGTCAGGATCATCAGGTGCTCTGAGTAAAACAAGACTGGCGACATTTTCCAAAGTCGAGGTAGATTGCATCGTCGCCACGCTCGACGCTATCTCATCCAAATGATACGCGCGCGACAACTTCTGGGTAGCTTGCTCACGCATTCGAAATTTCCGCTCTGGACTAAGTTTTGCGCCGGCATTATTCCCAAACCCAAGCCCCAAAGCTTGCATATGATGCGCAGCTCCGCCTGCTAGCGAATTTGATAATGTCGAGGATGCGACGCCATTCGCAGCTCGTACAGCCAGATCCGTAGCGCCGTCCACGAGCTGTCTTATCTTCACCAGGTCGTAAAATACTGCTGGATCGACAGGGCGCGGTAACGGCATGTAGTAGTTCGCATTAGCCAAGGTCTCAAGGACTTCGAGCGGTAGCTGCAGCCATGGTCCATGGAACGAGGATATGTAACGCCAGTGTCTGCGGTAGCGAATTATAAGCTACCAATATATATACGCTTATGGTCAATGAGGTACAACTCACTTATTCCGGCAAATTACAAGCGAAGATGAGGAAGACGACGACGACGACTGAGGCGCAGGAGAAGTTGGCTTCTTTTTATTCGCTGTCGAAGGCGCTGTTGAGGACTCTGCAGTAGCTTGTGCCTCTATAGTATGAGATTCGCCCGCTGTGGGCTTCTTGTTCTTTTTAGCCATTGCGCATTGGTGGTAAATTTGTTTAGGTACTCCCAATAGAAATGTAGACGTAGTATATGAGGTGTGATTGATACTCGAATCGCTGCAATATTTACACAAGAGGACTAGACAGCACTAGACAGGCGAGCGAATTATGACGATAAGATATACCGTCGCGAATAGCAAAGTCGCAAAGTCGCACTGTCGTAAAGTCGCAAACTTTCGGCAACTTACAGCTACTTGCTTCTGAAGTTGAATTAGCTGCGAAGCAGAACAGAAAAGCTCAAATGTATCGGCGATTCGGCGTGGCGCGTCTATTTTCTTATCTGATATCTAAAAGCTAATAAAGCGTATTACATACGTTTATCGCCACGTGATGCCCGTTTTATTCCCTTCTTTTGTCTTTACCACCTATAGCAAGTCTCTTAGTCAAAGTCTATTAGTCAATCATAGACGTAAATCGGCTATAGAATCGCAAGGACAATGAGCTCGGCATTCATCTCTCTTAACCCATCTTATATCCAATATCTCATAAAGACCCGGTATAACTAATACATACTAATGACTCTTTCTACCAGTTAACTAGAATGACGACCAGAAGTATAAGCGATGGTGCCCGCTGTTAATAGTATTGGAGGTGTCTATATGTTCACCTATACTTATACATTTAAAAAGAAACAGCCCAGAAAAAGGGATCCTTATATATTTGCTCTTAATAACCAAGTATTCTTTCAAGCGATATCCTAACTATCCCCCACCCTAAAGCCTAAAATCGAAGCGCAAAGTGCATGTAAGTTAAAAAATATGTTGTAACATAACATTATAGTGTCAGTTTCCTTTGATCTCTCTCTCCCACTCCTTCTTTACTTCTTCTAGGAGACCATCCTGCGCCAGGACGTCTACGGCAGTACCTGCAAGCGCCTTACCTACACGCAAACATCGCTCAAACGCAACCCTTGTTCCAGCCGCCTTAGCGAATTCCGGATTATGAGGTCCATTCCCTCCCGGTCCTGGTGGAATTGCAAACCCTGCACTTAAGCTAGGCATAGCGTAACTTATATCGCCCTGGTCCGTACTAGCCATTGTTCGGCCTTCGACCTCATCTACGCTGTCGTTCCCCGGAATGGGCTGCGGAGGCGAAAGTGCATTGAAATATTTTCGATAGGAAGCGCCTAGCACCCGGTTGGGGACGTGGTCGGCGTAAGACTGAACATGAGTCATCTGAAGCCTCGCACCCGTTGCTGTCGCTCCGGCTTCAAAACAGGCATCAACCTTCTTCTTCAGTTCCTTTACCCTCTCCTGAGTGTTTGCGCGGGTTACGAAATTACCGGCCGTATACGCATGGATCACATTCGGCCGTACCCCGCCATTCGTAATATTCCCTTGTATGACATCACCAGGCATTGTTTGCTGGCGGAGGACGGATAATGCATTGTAAGATGTGATCAACGCGTCAAGAGCGTTGATGCCCAGCCAGGGACTTGCCGCAGCGTCTAAGATACTTAAATCAATATTACCCTTTCCAAGTGTACAGGACAGTTCGAATCAGCTTACGAGCCTCGCGACCGAAGTATTCGACCTTGAATGCGGTATACGCAGAGGTCCGCATTAGGGCGGTGTCTTTGGTAATTCCAGGATGAGATATCAAGTTGATGTCGACCTTGTAATCTCGATAAGCCCCGGCTTTTAACAACTTGATCTTGCCGCCACCTCCTGTAAAAGATCAGAATATATCTTTTATATGAAGTAATCTTTATTTCAGAGGTCTGAGTCGAGGAGACGATCGATATCGTCTAAATGGATCGTCTAAGTCTTCCTTACCTTCTTCCGCGGGGGTTCCGAACACGACGACTTTCCCACTTAATTGATGTTCCTCCATCATTTTGGCTGCCGCTAATCCACCTGCTACAGATGCGGTAGCAATGAGATTGTGACCGCACGCGTGTCCAATACCATCCAACGCATCTACACACTTGATTAGACTCCTTTGCATCACTAATCGATTCGGCGTGGCACACCCATTTCAACGTTGAATGATACAACTGGGCCCTTCCTCCCGCTATCAAACACAGCAACCCAAGCTGTAGCTAAGCCATAGGCAGATGGCGTCACATTCCATCCTGGCCTACTGGCCATGAATTTTGTCAGTGTCTCATGAGCAATGAATTCTTCATAGCCAAGCTCTGGGTTATCATGTATCTTCTTGTTGACTGGCCACAAGTCATCTGCAATGCCGTCGATGAATTCGCTAATATCGCCAAGATAACCAGGGTTGGACTGAGCGAGGTCGGCGTCTTTGTGGGTAACGAAGACAAAATCGTCAAATTGTTGTTCCATCTTGCTAGGTTAGAGAACTCCTTATAAGCCTAGTCGTCGCCTCTGATGAGAATACACATATATAAGAAATACGATGGATAAGGTACATTGGGCAAGTATTTATGAGCACAAGCCGAAGTTATTAAATAGATGAATCCGCGAACCTTGAGGTCTCCAGACTTGAAATTCCAATTAGCCTATCCTACCATCCGCTAACTTCCAGGTTGATGCATTCAATGTAACGATCAAGGTTCATCAGGTTCAGTACCACTTTACCACTTATCTACCTACTTATACAGGGTACGTGTCTACATAAGGGGGGTAATGCATGTAGCTACCTTGTAGCATACCCCACACACATGCAGCTTATTTATAGGTTTAATAAGTTTACTTGTTATATTAACGTTAAAATATAAAACTTAAGTACCGTACTTTTATAATAAATAAAGATTAAACCGTAAATTTACCGTTTAAAGCTTTAATATTATTTAAATGTTTAAATATTTTAATATTTTAACCGGTATTAACTTAAATAATATATATTTAATTAAATATTTAAACGGTTTATATATATATAAATAATTTTTTTTAATAAATGGTTTTTTTATAAATAAATGGTTTTTTTATAATTTTAATATTATCGGATTAATAAAAGTTATATAATAATATAATGCATTATAATAAAAAACATATAACGAGATAATTAATAATATTATTTATATTTTATTATTATATAAAAAAAAGATTAAATAATGTAAAAATAAATTATTTAATTAATTATAAGTTAAAACACGGCTTTAACCTTTAACGCACGTGTTATATAAGCACGTGATTATTATTTTAATATTAACAATGTTTTTTTTTTATATAATACGTGATTTATTTTTTTTTATTATATAAATTAAACTTTATTTTTTTTATTTTCGAATTGTTTTTTAAGTTTTATTATACCTTTTATTTTTTTTTCGTAGTTTTTTTTTTTTTTTTTTATTTTTTAAAATAATTAATTTATTATTTAAAACAATTAATTTATTATTTAAAGCGGTTAATTAAATTAATTTTCGAATAATTAATCTTTGATTAACTTTTTTTTTTATAATAATTTTTTCGTACTTTTAATTTATAAAAAATTCCGGTTATTTTTTTAAGTTTATAAACGTTATTAATTTTTTCGTATTATTATAACCGAAGCTTTTATAATATATTTTATGGTAATATAAATAATTAACGATAATAATATATAAATATAATAATATTTTAATAAAAATTATTATTATTTAATTAAAAAAAGACTTTTTTAAATAACATTAAAGGTTTTTATTTATTAATTTTAATTTATTATAATATAATATACATTTAACCACGTACGTATTAAATTTTTTTTTATTAAACGTTTCGAGTTTCGCGAAGTTACGGTTTTAATTTAAAGTTTTATGTTTATTAATAACGTAACTTTTAAAGACGTTTATTTAAATCTTTCTTATGTTAATTATTATAAGTATTAAACTCGGTATTATTAATTATAAAGTCGGTTTTAATGCCGAAAACGAAAGTATATATAATTAATTCGTTAAAGTTTAAAGTTAATATAAAAATTAATACGAAAGTTAATATAAAAGTTATTAATATTAAAAGTAATATAAAAGGTATTAATATATTTAATATAAAAGTTAATATAAAAAAAGTTAATATAAATATTAACTTATAATATTAATATCGGTTATTTAAATAATAAATAATAAAAATAAATATCGGTTTTTTAATATAATAAACGGTAAATTAATATGTAATAAACGTAAATATTATAAATTTATTAATTAAACTTTAAATATTTTTAAAGTAAATTATTAAATGGTTAATAAAGTTTTACGTAATAATTTAATTATTAAAATAATATACTTTTAATAATTTAATTAAATAAAAAGTTTTACGTAATAATTAAATTATTAATGTAATATACTTTATTAATTTTTTAAGTTTATTTTTTTACGTAATAAATATCGGTTATTTTATAATAAACGGTCGAAATTAATATTATAATAATAAACGTGTTTAATAAAAAAGTTTATTTATTAATATATAATTAATATAATTAATTAATTAAAAAATATATTGTATTTATAACGTATAAATACGCGTTTATAATGTATAATATACGCGAGTTACGATAAGTTTTTTATACGTGGTAAATGTAAGTATTATAAATTTACGAATTAAGTTTTAAATATTTTAAATTAATAAAAGCCGTGAAATAATTAAAGGTTTACGCGATAATATTAAAGTAATATAATTAAGTTTTACGTAATAATTTAATTGTTAAAATAATATACTTTTAATAATTTAATCGTTAAATTAAAAGTTTTTCACGATAATTTAATTATTAAAGTAATATATTATTTTAATAATTTTCCGGGATTTTTTTTTTTTATTAAACTTTATTAATTTATGTTTAACTTTATAATTAAATATTAATTAATGTTAAATTAATAAAGGTTACGTAATAATATAATATATTATAATAAAAAATATATAACGAAATAATTAATAATATTACTTATATTTTATTATTATATAAAAAAAAGATTAAATAATATAAAAGTAAATTATTTAATTAATTATAAATTAAAATATAACTTTAACTTTTAACGCACGTGTCACACGAACACGTGATCATTATTTTAATAAATATAATTAAAAAAAAGTGTAATATTAATAAATAAATAAATAAATAAATAAAAAAATTATAAATGTTATTTTATATATTTAAATAATTATAAGTTATACGCGTTTATATATAATAATTTATTTAAATAATAACTTTATAACTTTAATCGTAATTATAATTATAATTATAAAACGTTCGAAAATAATATAATATTTAAATAAATAAATATTTATTTTAATAATTTAATTATTATACGTATTTATATTAAAATAAATATATATAATAATATATTTTTTATTTATTTATTTATTTATTTATTTATATTACACTTTTTTTAAACCGTATTAAAATCGTAAAAAAACCGTTGGTTTTTAAAAAAAAACCGTTAATTAAAAAAAAACCATTTATAAAAAAAAAACCATTTATAAAAAAAAAACCATTTAATTTATTAACCGTTTAATTTATTTTAATAGTTTAAACTTTAATTTAAAAAACGGGTTTCGTTATAAACGTTACGAAATTTTTAACCCGTATGTTTATATTTATAAATTAAAAATAAAGCGTTTTTTAAATTAAAGTTTAAAATCGTTATAAAGCCGCATTTTATTAAATATAAAAATTTAATAATAAAAAATTAAATATTAAGTTTACGATAATTTAATATATAATAATAACGTATAAAATGCCTTTTATTTTTATGATTTAAAGTTAATATTTTACTTTTTTTATTTTTTTATTATTTTTATATATTTGTATAATTTTACGTTATTATATATAAAGTTTTAATGTTAAAATTTATTAAATATAAAACATTTATAATTAACATTATAATTAATATTATAATTAATAATATAATTAATATTATAATTAATATAACGTGTAAAAATAAAATTTCTTTTATTTTAATTTTATTTTAATAATATTATGTTAAAAGTTATAAAAATGTACGATATATATAAGTAATATAAATAAATAAAAAAGGTTTATTTTTTTTAAAGTAAAAATATACATAATATATCTTTTATATATTTATTTTAATTATATAATAATTATAATTATTATATATATAATTATGGTAATAATTATATTATATGTAACGTATATGTTATATATATTACGTAAACCGTGTTAACGGTTATTTTTTATATAATATACTTTTTAAATAAAAATAATTAATTACATTTTTAAGTTTACCATCGTTATAATAATTAATGTATATATATAAATAAAATTTAATAAATATAACGGGTTAAATAATAACTTATGGTTTAATATATAAAAAAAATGTATTTAATAAATGGGTTTTAACGTATTAATTTAAATTTACGCGTATATTTTTATAATATATTAAATCATTAATGTATTTATAATTATTATTTATAAAGTTATAAACGTAACTTTACGGACTTTCCGCGTAATTATAAACCACTTTTAATAACCGGTTATATAAAAATAATTTTTTTTATTTAATTTTTAAATTTTTTTTTTCCTTTTTTTATTATTAAATAATTATTAAAATAAATAATTTTTAAAATAGTTTTAAATCTTTAATTATTTTTTAAATTTAATATATATTTTTACTTTTTATTATATTACGTAAATTTTAAATACGGTAAATTTAAATTTAAAATGTAATATATATTTAATATATATAGTTTTTTAATTATTATTTATAATTAAAAGTTTTTATATTAAAAACTTAAAGGTTTTTAAAAATTATTATTTTTAAAAAAGTTATTATTTTAACTTAATTGGTTTTTATTAAAATTACCGTTTTTTAAATATAAGATTTATTAAAAAAAAAAAGTTTAATTTAAATATTTTATTAATTATTAAAGTTATTTAACGTAATATTAAACGCCGGATTAATAATAAATTAAAAAAAGTTTATGTTAATAAATAATAAATAATATTTAAAATTTAAAAATCTTTTATTAAATTATTAAGTATATATTATTTCTTTTTTTAATTGTAATATTTATTAATTTTATTTTAAAGTATAATTTACTTTTAACGTTTAATAATATAAATTTAATTTAAAGATTATTAAATATTCTTTATTATTATGTTAATTTAATTTATAATAGTTTTTATAAAATATTTTATTTTTAATATTTTCGAAGTTATATAATAAAATATTAAAGGAATAATTTCTTCGATTATAATATATATAATAATAATTTATTTAAATGTTACTTTTATATATTTTATAATTATAAGTGTAAATAAATGTAAATTTTCTTTTTAATTTTATATTTTTTATATTATTAATTAATTTTTTTAAACTATATTTTATTAATAAATTAACGTTTAAATTTATTTTTAACTTTTTAATTAATTAAATAAAAGTAAATTAATTTATAGTTTATTTTTTTATTTATAAATTAATTTTTTAATTAAAATTATTTATTTATATTATTAAAATAAATATAAAATGGTTTACATATAAATTTGTTTTTATATAATTTATATAAAATTAATAAAAAATATATAAAAATTAAAAAACTTTAAAATTTAAAAGTTAATTATTATATTAAAGTTAATATATTAATTCTTAATTATTTATTTATATAATAATAAAAAGAAGTAAATAAAAAAGAAAAAATTAAAATTAAATAATAATTAACATTTATCTTAAATTATAATAATATAAATAATTAAAAAAACGGTTTAAAAATTTTATTTAAATTTAATACCAATAATAATATAATTATTAATAATAATATCGACAATTTTTAAACATAAAAAAAGGGAGTTTATCTTTTAAATAACCTTTAAAACTTAAATTAATTTTTAAATAAATCTTAAGGTTTAAATAATTT